GTAGACTTCGGTCTAGATGGGTGGGATATAAATTAAATAAAATAAATAAATATGTGATCTTGTTTCATTAAAAAGAAAAATTAAGTCACTGCTTCACTGGAGTGATAAACCTCATCAATAGTACAAAGCTTTACTAAAACCCCTGTCTGGGTAGGTCAGTGAATTAGATACCTGGCCGCAGAGTTCAGTTCCCCGCTGTGCTTCCCAGAAAAAGGGAATGGTAAAAAAGCAGTCAAGTACTCTCTGCCTAGAGAACCGTGAAAAGGATTGTGATAAGTCAAATTGATTTGATGGAACACAACTGTTGTTTTAAGAGGAAAAAGGAGTGGAAAGTCACAAAAAAGGGGAATACAATGTGAGAAAGTCTTATGGATGGCCGTGAAGGTGTCTCATGACTGGGGCAGGAGGTGCTCCCTGGTCGAAAGGTCCTGATCTGGACCTTTTGACCAGTCACCGCTGGATGGTGGGGATAATACCTATAGCATTAGTACAGAACCTGGGGCTTTAGGGAGATCAGTGGACCATCTGGAAAAGCTCTAATCCTGTCTGTTTTCATTGGAGCATATTTTGTGTAGGAGTAATCATTTCCTCTAGCAATTTAGGATGGTAGCTGCCGACAGGACTGGACACAGAACAAGGCTACTGAGAAACAGGAAAGGCAGCCTTGTTAATAGGACAGGCCTATCACTGGGCAAGGTGTGGAAATTGCCTTAAGTGACGCTGGTGTTCCCAGTGAACCTCCTGGCCATTCCCCTCTGTTGCAGCTGGGTCTGCACTGTAACCTGTCCAGCACCCCTAAACTGGCTTGCTTCTCTCAGAAGTTGTGGAAGATATTATCCTATCATGAATACTGAATCTGACAGTGAAAATATTATTTTTTTGACTAAAACCAGCCATTCGAACTGTGCATTTTGGAAGTTGTGGTTTCAGAGAATAATGTTTTTCATTTGTGAATTCAAGTCAGGCTTTATATGTGGAATGGGAGAAAAGACACCATTTTGTTTTTCATCTGGTCTGGCCTACTACTAGTAGTGTATGCAGTTCCACTGGTACTAGTCTTAGTTTTCATTAATCAGTAACACAACATCTAGTGACTGACTTTGTTATGATCCCCTCCCACTATTGTACCCAGGAGAGAAACTTCAACTAGCATCAGGGGATGTTTCCCTTCTGGATAGGGACTAATAGCATCTGTAGATACTGCTCCACAATGGAACTGTAGCAAACAATATGATACAATATGGTCTTGATTCTAATCACTCCCATAGCTATTACTGAGGAGAAAAAAACTAGATATGTTAGTTGCAACCATACATTTAACATAATGTCTGAGTTGGCCAGGGGAAGAAAGCTAAATGGGACTGAAGGAAAAAAAGAAGAAAAAGAATGGATGATGGAGTTCAGGAGAGAAAGAAGACTGAATTTTAGAGAATTTATTCCTGGTTTAGGAGCACCCCCCTTGCTAGTTTTGCTTGAACATTGTGGATTCCCCCCCTTGATCTTGTTAGTGTGCTGGATTGTTTTCTTAATTTCTTCAAAAATTATAGATTTTGTTCCACATGATTGTGCTTTATAGAAAAGCTATTAGTAAGTAATCATACAATAATTATGAAAAGCTATTGAACTTATAGTAATAAATCATAAATAATACTAGCTTTTAAGCATACTACTACAGCCAGGGTCATTCACCGAAGCTAACAGATGAAAGGAAGCATTTGTTCGAACAGCACATAGCATTGTATTTGCTATCTCTAGATGTCTACTATCACTACCAGCTTAGAGGGCATTGAAAGAGAATTAGGCAAATTCTCTGAAAATTTCAATGGCCATATTTATGACTATATCGTGACTCCAGTTGGAGAGGCAGTATGTCCCTGAAGACCAGTTGTTGTGCAACGTGTGTGTTTATATGTGTGTGCGATACTAATTATTGGGGTTTTGGTTAAAGACTTTATATCAGAAATTTGGCTGTTTATCTTGTTAGCAGAGCACAATGTAGGAAAAACACAGAAATGTAGAGAGATTAGCCCAGTTCCAGCTCCATCCCTGGCTGTAGAGGAAAACTAACCCTTTCGGTAGTGAAAAGTCACTTTGGGTGCACCTTTAAGCAGGAAAAGATAATTTTTCTGACACTTATCATCCATAGTTAGAGGGTGAAAGGATATAATGGAGTCTTCTGACCTCCCTGCCTGTTTCTGTAATCAAAGAATAATATTGTTCAGGTAAACAGGAAGAAGAGCTGACCTCAATGGCAAAGAAAACTAACCAATCAACGGTGTGGCAAAGAACAACTGCAGGCTGCCACTGATATGCAGTGTTAGTACATGGAAGGTTGCGTTTTTCTAACATTAATGCCTTTGTGTCCTGCTTGCTGACAAAGGCAAGATGAGCTGTTCCCCTGTAGCTATGTTTATATTTTTATCTTATGTTCAACCCACTTCTCAGTGTAACAAACAAACACACATTTGGTAGTACATTTGTTTTCTTTAGGTTGGAGATCACTGTAGTTCAAAGGTTATTATTACATTTGTTTTCTTTAGGTTGGAGATCACTGGATGTTTGTTATTTTTCAATATTTAAGTTTATTTACGTATCAACAGCTTGAGACTTGGTTTAGATAATGCTAAAATCACTGTCAGGTGCTCTATCCCCACACCAGATCTTCAGATATTCTATAGAACTTCCTAAATTCAACTTTTGATAACTCCCTTCAGATGATTTCCATACAGAATACCTTTATAAAAAGGGAGGCTTTGCCAAGCACATTATCCCTGCCTCCTTTATCACATGCCTTGCATTAGTACCATTGCCTTCTATGTCTTGGGAAATAAACTCTGCATTGGGAGTCTTCTCTATGCCCAGTTTAGACCACTCGAAGATTAGGCTCAGCTACTTTTGTTTTCTGACTGTGTGATCTTCAAGTATGGACAAGTTTCTTGCCTGTCCATCCCCTTACTTTGGCCCTCTGCTACAGCTGGCTCTTCTAGGTTCCACAATGGTCTCATCTTTGTCAGAATGGGTCAGCTACAGCCCATCTGTATCCCCCTAGTTCCAAGTTCATCCTCGCCACAAGGTTAGCGTTTTGCTAATTCACAGTCAAAAACTCTTTCATCAAAAAACTACTTTCAAGATACCACTCCAAGTTCTTTATGATCAGCTTAGCATTTAAGACACTGCAGGAAGAGTGCCAAGGACACGGGAACATTGACAAATCGGACTGTCAAGATAACTTATAGAACTTCAGGGATGTTACAAACAATGATCCCTGCTCTTAATATTTTTTAGTGTTTTTTTTTCCTTTTAAACAGAAAATAAAAACTACTTTAGAGCTGCTCAGAATATTTGCAGGCATGTCGTTGGACAACCACCCGCTTTTAAAATTAATTGAAGAGACAACTTAGTTGTGTTCACCCATCAATCATGCCCCATCACCAAACACTAGGTTGATAAGAAGAGTGTAATTCCATTAGAGAGCCAATACATTATGTAAACTTTGGCAACAAATTTAATGACCCTGTTTCCTAAGTATTTTATATTCTGCACAGGTAAGATGTTCTGGTACCACTTGTTAAAGTAAATATCACCAATTTACATCAAGGGTGCTCCATACCAATTTATTTTGCTGTAGCCTATCAGCATTCAAAAGCTTCATTAGGCTCTGTTGTACGAACAATGAAAGACAGATGTGCAAGGTTACCTCAGGGGGATCAACGGCCCCTGATGAATGTCTTGTTTCCAAGCAGCTTTTGACAAGCTGCTTAATGGCATCCATCACATGTAAGAGATATATATGGGAGTAAGAGAGAGGTGGAAGACTGTATTCTTCCTAGAAAAGGTCCAAAATACAGAGTCAAACTACATGGAGATAATAATTCACAAGATTGAATAGCATGGCGTGAATGTGTGTTGAATAGAAATGTATGATTGCCTGGTTTTGCAAACTGCTCAGCATAGGTCCAAAGAGTACAGAGTCAAACTACATGGGGATAATAATTCACAAGATCGAATAGCATGCCGTGAATGTGTGTTGAATAGAAATGTATGACTGTTGAAGCAGTTATAAGATAGGCTCAAGATATTATTAACATTTTGTTCAAACTACATTTTCCTATGATCACTAGAAAGCTCCTGAAAGCATGATGAACAGGGCCAGTAAATGCAGAAGTAGAAAATAGGAAACATTAATTTTTTTGGCTTATAATTCCTAGAAAGTATGATCTGGGGCCATTTTGACTGAGAGATTTCCTGGGACTATACTTCAAGAATGTAACTCTTCCATCCTATGCAACTTGATCTCTGCCAAAACAATTGCATAACTGCTTCAATTGATGCACACAGCGTTCTTTGTGGATACATATGCACATTTCAACACACTACATTTACCAGCATGTACTGCATTTGAAGAAGTGACCTGTGGTCCATGCAAATTGATGCCAAACAGAACTTGCTGGTCTTTAAAAGGTACCACAAGATCTTTGTAGTTTTTTATGGAACATTCAGCCACAGCATATCTCAAGATCATTTCATCCATATTTTATGTTGGCTCAACTTACTATGTATCGAGCCCAATGCTGGTAATTAGCCTTCATCAACCAGTTTCCTGGCTGTCTGGACTGAAACATAAGGTGGTTACAAGCACTAGAAAAGTTTGAAGGTATATAGCATTTCCTTCCTTCCTTCCTTCCTTCCTTCCTTCCTTCCTTCCTTCCTTCCTTCCCCATTGCTTTTTTGCATTTTGCTTGAGAAGTCAGTAGTTGATAAAGTCAACCTTACCACTTATTTGGTTTTAAAAGCTGATTATTCTTTGAGCCCTAACAATATGTATTTTTACAAACGTCTTCAGATTATTCACATGTGAATCATAGGAATCTCCCTTCCTATTTTATTTGTGTCAGATAAAGGATTTGTTTTATTACTTTCATTCTTCTTCTTTTTAAAAAAGTGGTCTTTTTATCTGATGAATAATGGCTTGATGCAAGTGCTTTCATGTATTTCAAAAGGAGCATAGCAGCCACCGATCATGAGCCAACAGATGCCCGAAAATCATTCCCCTGTTTTGATGAACCTAACAAAAAGGCAACTTATAAAATATCTATTACCCATGAAGACTCATACAAAGCTTTGTCAAACATGCCAGTGGAGGTATGTATGCTAGTGTCTTTAAAATCTTTATCTCTTCGTATATGATATATGCAACATGTGGTCTTTTATGAACTAATTGCATGCCCTAGAGCAGGAGCTGGCAACGTTGGTGGGTCTGTGGGGTCATTTTCTGTTCCTGGAAGTTTCCAGTGGACACAGAGACCACAAGCATGTAAAACAAAAACAATATCTGCAAACCTCAAGCTAGAAGTGACTGGAAATCCATTTCCATTTTTGAAAAAATTGTTACTTTGGGATGTTAAATGGCATAAGGGACCTGCATAACATATTTAAAGGGTGAATTGCCACTTGAAGAGACTTCTGTGAACTTTAATTCGCCATTTTTGTGTTGTGAAAAAAGGTAGCTGGAGGAGATATAGGGGTTGCATGCAGGTCCAGGGCCATATCTTGTTCAGCAATGCCTTAGGCCAGCCATTTTCTATGGGCCATACAGCCCCCTTGGGAGGCTGTGACACATTTGAAGGTGGTCACAAACTGGAAACAATTCTTCACACACCACCTTATGAGGTTCGTTATGTGATTTATACATTCCTTATTCAGCCTATATTTCTTCCATATTGTGTTTCTGGTTTGGTTAAGTGTTCTTGGACTGCAAATCCCAGAAGCCTTTGCCACTAGCTGTGCTGGCTTGGGTTTCTGGAAGTTGCAGTCCAAGAGGGCCTGGATTACTCTTGGCTGGGAACCACTGCCCTAGAGAAATCCTGTAGTGCAGGGGTAGGGTCTCCTCCAGCTAATATGTCCAGTTAGCTTCCATGAATAGGGGAAATCTCCAAGATTTCACCTATCAAGACTCCATCTCAATCAAGCTAATGGCAGGACTTGCTCTGCTTGAAATGATAGACCTTAAAGCTTCCACTTCCCTTCTTGGATGCACATGTTGAGGGGGTTTGTGTGGGTTTGTGTGTGTCAGAGAAGCTGGAAGCAATGCTATCAGTAGGCTAGACTCCATTATGGGGCTGAATTTCTAGCAGAGTCTCCCAAGGTGGAATGTTCACAGGTGAGGCACCAGATTAAGATGCACCCACCCTCTTCAAAGGTAATGGCCACATCAGCAGAAAAGAATTGATAGTTCTAATGGTGATGGGGGTGGAGAAATTTCTGGATGGCAACTTCTGGACAGCAGCAGTTACTGAAGGTAACACAGGCAGAGAATCTTTCACAGATAATGGCAGTAACAATGATGCTAACTTTTGTTAGTACTGCACAGCAGAAGGCAATAGTAAACTGCTGTTGATTTTATTACTGTGAAAACCCTATGATGAAACAGTCCAAAACAAAACAAGATAAAGTGCTGGAAGATGAAAGTCCCATTTGGAAATCAATCAGTCAGTGTTGCACAACATACACAATTAGAAATTGGAACATGAGCAGTATGAATCAAAGTAAACTGGCAAACGTAAAGCAAAAACCAGATTTTTTAAAAACATGTCAGTGCTTGGTGTCATTGAACTAAAGTGGTTTAGATTGGGACATTTTCAGTCAGACCATTACAAATGTTTTAGTCTGGAAACGACAAACTCAGAAGAAATAGAGTGGCTCTAATACTGAGGCAAGATGTAGTACAGACAGTTAGTGGCTATAATCCAATGTCTGACTGAATAACATCCATCAGACTTCTGGGAAAACCCATCAACATAACTGTCATTCAAATTTATGCTCCAACTACTGATGCTGAAGAAAATGAAATTTAAAGTTTTTATCCAAGCATCCAGGAGGAACTTGATCACACACGAAAACAAGACGTGTTTACAATGATTGGTGACTGGGATGCAAACCAAAGTAACAAAGCAGAAACAAATGGTTTTGGAAAATCTGGCCTAGGAGGTTCAACAGGGAAACATTGTCTGACTAGGAGAAAATAAAGAGAAGGTAGAAGCAGTATACTGAAGACCTATACAGTAGAGATAAAAGGATGACAGATTTCTTTGAAGAGGAACTCTACAATGAACAATGTGTGCTTCTAGAAAGTGAAGTGAACACTGCTCTGAAAGCACTAGGAAGAAATAAATCTCCAAGAGTAAATGGAATTCCAATAGAATTATTTCAAGCCACAGAGATGGAATCTGCCAAAAGCCAACAAATGCGTAAAATATAACAAGACCCACATACTGGAAACATTCAATATACATTCCAGTCCCCAATTTATAACAGCTGTGCAGGGCTGTTGAGGACAGGACATTTTGGAGACCGCTCATTCATAGTGTCACCATAAGCTGGAGGCAACTTGACAGCCTGTAACAACAACAAGAGTTCCTCTGCTCCTTATCTTTTTCTTTAGTGACGCCAAGAGCTGAGCAAAGCTATCTCAACCAGAAGCTAACACTTGAAGATGCCTTTGGCCTCTTGTGGCTTCAGTTGGCAGTAGCTGATGCCCTCTCTCATCTTTCATGATGGGAAACATAGGAAGCTGCGTTCTACTAGTCAGATCATTGGTCCATCAGGTCCAACATTACCTCTGACTGACAGTGGATTCATTTCTCACTCTAGCTGGAGATCCAGGAATGTCCTTGTAGTTTCCCATCCAAGTACTAACCAGGTGTGACTCAACTGAGCATCCCAGATCAGATAATATTGACATGTTCATGGTGGTTTGGGGTTAGAAAGCTAAAAAGTGAACTAAGTAGGTTGAACTGAAGACTGCTATCTTCATTCTTTTATGTGAGAGAGGGGGAGAGAGCGAGAGAAATCGACGTGCACATACACATATTTGAATGGGATATGTACGTTTTCTGTTAATTACTGATATTCCATACTTTTCCTGGTACCAAAGTGACTTTCAGTTCTGGTTTCATGCCTTAACATTTTTCCAACAGTACTTTGTAATGATGAATTGTAGCTTTTTAGAAGGACTTATATCAGAGTTACTGGCAATATCATATGTGGCATCATGGAATATATTGCCTGTTTGCTGAATTATAGATGTAGTGGTTTATCAAAATTCATTATGAAATAAAGTGTGCAAGTTTGCAGCTGATTATTTTTAGGTCTGCTGGCTCAACTTTCCAAGTTTTCCATAGAAGTCAATGGCATACATTATCCGTTTTTAGGAGTGACCATGGAAAAGATGTTTATGGCTCAGAGCCAATAGAATTTCAAGTGAATAGCTGAACTGAAAATCAAAGCCAGCACATAGTAGCTTGAAATGAATAGTTTCCAAATTTCCAAATTAAGAACACAATTGAAATGCAAATTCCAGCTAACCAACTTAAGGCTAAAGTCGTTCCCAGGCAATTTCACTTAAAAATTAGCTTCAGTTCAAAAGTCTAGAAATGTAGTATTAATGTTAAAGAGGAAAAAGATGGAAATTACAAAAGTATATCATGCTTGTGGTTATGTAGATTACTGTTAACGTTCATGATGGTTGGATATGCCTGAATGTACATAAATGGCCAAAATCCATAACATATTTCAGTATGAATGTATGATACTTATTTCACTTGCATAATAGCCTAACTCCATGTAAGAAAGCTTTGTTTATTTCTATTGTTTTAACAAAGCTACTATAATTTTAGCATCAGGGTGCAACTAGATGAGAAATATGGAGCAATCTGGGTCACATATAAAAGGCTGTTATCCTCAGTGCGATCTATTTTATCTCACACTAGAGCTATCTTTTGATTCACACCAGAAACATTTATTCTCCTATGAGAAGGATCCAGACAGCACTTCAGATTGCTCCAATTTCTCTTTCTTTTGATTATTGATACCCTCTCTCCTGCTCCTTTCCCTGCCTTTTGTCATGGCAATCATTCAACTATCTGTGGCAACTTGCCTTTTTTTGTTTATTTTAGTAAGTGGCATAGTGCTACAGCAATACTTCAACCTAGCATGGATACTGTCATATATATGAAATAGCACAGAGTCACTTAGAAGAATAGTTTAACAGATGTGAGAAGAGGAAAATAGAGGAGAGGGTTTCTCTGCCATTCTTTGTACTATCACAACTGCTGCATGTGTCAAAGGGTTGTTACCAAAGAGAATGCTGCCCACAGCTCTATTTGGGAGTGAATTAAGCAGCTACACAGACTGTTGACCAGGATAATCAGAAGCACTCCCAATAATCACACTAAATAAACTGCAGCCCTAGTGCTGTTCCAGAAAGGAAAGAAACAGCTCGCAAAAGCAGCAGGATGGATCTTACTTAAAACATGTGTGTTCTTAAGAAAAAAGAAAGAACCAAGCTGCACCAAAAGTGAATCAAATAGTGAGTTACAGAGTTCTCTGATTGCCCTCTCAGGTAAAATTTGTAGTGCCTGTGCAAACTAATGACTGATATCACTCAGATACCATAGGTGCAGTCATACGGGTTTTTGTGATTTAGACAGGAAAAAAGAAATTACTCCAAGGATATTAATCCAGGAAAGGACACATATGCGCAGCAAGCTAAAGAAAACAGATCAGTAATTTAAAAAAAAGCAACCCATAGAGCACATCAGGGAATAATAAAGGCTGCTAATATACATTTTAAAGTACTGCTCTACTTGTAGACACCTGCATTGTATATAATTGCGACCCATAGAGCAGAAATAATAAAGGATGCTAATATACATTTTAAAGTACTGCTGTACTTGTAGACACCTGCATTGTATATAATTATTTGTTTTGTGCTTTTTCCCCTTCCAGGAAACAATTGCATTGGGTAATGGTTGGAACCGGACAACATTCCATACTTCTGTCCCCATGAGCACTTACTTGGTGTGCTGGGCTGTGCACCAGTTTGATTTTATACCGAGGGTTTCTTCTCGAGGAATTCCTGTAAGTCCTGTTTTCATTTTTAGCACACTATTGCATTGTTTTTCAGCAGGCTTGGCTTTGCAAAATGAAACCAAAGCAATTGACTTAGTTATATATGTAGTTGTGGGTATTTCTTTGGTGTTGATATTGTACAGAAGAATACAAACCCTATTTACAAAGGCCCTTTTTTCTGTTTCTGTTTTTAATTTTGAGTCTGGGTCGAATTATTATATCCTTGAATGCAATTCTCTACAGATAATAGTAACAATGGGTCTTCAAAGCAATGGGATTCAATGTAGTCACAACTCATTTACTCCATATGTTTTACAAAGCAACTCTGTATGTGTCTATGTAAAACTAGGTAAGTGTTCGTAGGATGGCAGTCCGGAACTCTTTTCAGACATTCGCCTCTATCTCTAGAATGATGGGAGAAACTTGGCTCAGTAATATTACGTGTAAGAAGGATCTTGAAATTGTAGATCACAAGCTGAATATAAGCCAACAGTGCAATGTGGCTGCCAAAAATAAAAAATTAAAAAAAAATAAGGGAAATTCTATTTTAGGCTGCATTAACAGATGTATAATCTCAAAATCCTGTTAAGTACTAATTTCCCTCTATTTGCCTCTACCTTCATTGAGTAGTAAGTATTCAGTGCTGGATACTGCACTTTAAGAAGGAAGTTGACAAACTGAAATAAGTTCAGAGGATGGCAACAAGAGTGATCATGGGAGTAGACATCAAGCCCTATGAGAACAGGCTGATAGAAGTGGGCATATTAGCCTCGAGAAAAGAAGAATGAGGAGACATACTGTATGATAACAGTTTTCAAATATCGAAAGATTATCATACAGAGGATGAACAGGATCCGTTCTTGATCATCCCAGAGTGCAGGCCATGTAATAATGGACTCAAGTTACAGAAAACCAGATTTTGGTTGAATGTCAGGAAAAAAACATCTAAACTCTTGAAGTGGTATGGCAATGGAACTGATTGCTTCAGGAGATGATGAGCACTCCAACACAGGAGTAAATCAAGAGGAAAAAAATAGACAGCCATCTGTCAGATATTGTTTGATTTGGATTCTTGCAGTGAGCAGGGGTTTGGACTCAATAAACTTACAGGCTCTTTGAACTCCATTACTGTATCCCTGGAAAAGACCTTAATGTTAGGAAAGTGTGAAGGCAAGAGGAGAAGGGGACAACAGAGGATGAGATGGTTGGACAGTGTCACCGAAGCAACCAACATGAATGTGACCCAACTTCGGGAGGCAGTGGAAGACAGGAGGGCCTGACGTGCTCTGGTCCATGGGGTCATGAAGAGTCGGACATGACTAAACGACTAAACGAACGAACAATTGTATTGAGTCTCTCATTCTAGGATTCTGTGATTTGATTCTCATTAGTCAACCTCAAGGTTCTAATGAAATCAGAAACAATTAAAAAAATTGAAGTAGCTTCTATAGGCCTGAGCTCTGCTTATTCTTAGTGTAAAATAAGACACTAGTAGTAATTCTATACAGTAGGAACCTATATCTGTGGGAACAATATCCACAGTTTGCCTCAGCCCTATATACGAACACAAGGGTGTCCCCATGCAGTCTTTGTCCTGTCCCCTTGTATGTTGTATATAGCGTTCCCTCATGTCTTCGGTTTCAGGCACGCACAGTAGATTCTGGAACTGGTTGTGGAAATGGGGCCCACACTGTATAATTTATATTTGTCATTTGTCATTCAGCTGAAAGAGCTCTCAGATTTTCCTGCATATGAATAAAAACAGAAGAAGTTATTTCCTGCCCTTAGATGTGCAATCTAAAAAAGCAAGGGATCAAAAGAAATTGGGATAGGAGGTAAAATGAAAACAAGGACTGCCCAGGCAGATGCTCATAATGCCAAGAGGTTGACTATAACCACCTAATATAATGCAATTGAAGTGTTACAATAAAGTGGACCCCATTTGTCTTCTTATCAGGACCAACTAGAATAAAACCGGCTCAAGAAGCAGAGGCACTTGAAATTTCTGACCTATCAGCAGAACCAATGTGGTGGTCCTACTTACTGCCTCTCCTTCTTCTACTGCTTAGTGGAATGACTGCTGGGTATTATGCGCTTTATCCCTATTGCTGTCCTTTCCCCTAAATATGCTTGGTAGAATTAATAGCTCCATGGAAATAGTTTTGAGAAGCTGCTTACTGCAAAACAGTGCCTTTTCCTTATTCAGGGCAGAAAGGTCAAACCTATTATCTATATATAATTGTGTTTGGAACATCTCTGCATTGTTTTACAGCTCCGTATTTATGCCCAGCCGAAACAGATCCACACCGCTGAGTATGCAGCAAATGTAACGAAAGTGATCTTTGATTTTTTTGAAGATTATTTCAACATGAACTATTCTCTTCCCAAACTGGGTAATTATTAATAGTTCTCTTCCTGATTTCTTAACTGACTGATCATTTTGTTTCCAGTCCATGAGTCATCTAAAAATTGTATGCAAGGGTGATGTTTGGAATAGTGGCATTTAGCTGTGTCCCTGTTCATAAAGAAGTATTAGCATGCTTCAATAAGTATACAAATCTCCCTCACACTGAAAAAACCCAAATGGTCAACTTGGATTGCCAGGAGCTTTCCAGAATCATTTTCTTTTTACAGTCCAAGTTTCCTGCATCCTTTTAAGCAGTGAAGATAACTGTCAGGGTGAAGACTGAACTGAAGTTAATAATGAAGTTTGAACCAGGGCTTTTTAGATACTGAGCTATAAAACTTACTGCTCAGCTATGGGTAGTTTGAGTGTGTAAATAGCAGCCAATATACTGCTTTTTTCTGATCACTAATCTAAGGTCAAGGCTGACTAGATAGCTCAGTGGTTTAGGTATCTGGCTGTAGAGCCAAAGGCTGGGAGTTTGATTCCCTGTTGGGCTTCCTGTGAGTAAAGCCAGCCACTTCTGAGTATTTTCTACCTGGAAAACCCTGAAAATGGTTGCCATGAGTTAGAATTGATTTGATGGAATATAAGGTCAAACTAGATATTAGGAAATATACTTCCTATGACTATTGTGGAATGGGATTCCTTAGACATTGAGAGGTCCTACCTGGCAAGGCTGTTGTGCATTCTAAGAAAGCACACAGTCAATGGTTATTGCTTTAAAAGTAAGCAAAGGTTACTTTTAGGATCAGGCTTGTCCATGGGGCTTGTACCACACACTTCTGGGGCCTAAAGGACCTACCTCAGGCAATAAAGGTGGTAGTTTTGCACCCACAGTGACTTGCTGACCACAATCATCTCTTTAGGGAGCGTGATCATCACAATAGCCAGACCTTGGCAATTTCTCCCATCTACGTGACAAACATTCTAAGTGCATCATCTAGTCTGACCCTTCTAAATATTCCCGCTGCAATGCCCATTTTATGGGGCTGGCCTCAGAGGTTAGCATGATCTGATACTTGCTTGAGGTCCTAGCCTTGTTGAGGCCCATTATCTACCCCTGTTCACCACACCCCGATATATCATATCCCTGCTGAATGCTGCTACCACTGTAGCCATTCACTCTCTTCTCTTTCCCTCAGCTGCTCTTGCCATAGGCCAGTTGTTTACTTACTAGTTGACACTTGCTGATGCAACTTCTTGCACCACTTGTTTCCCACCCATATTAGACTCCACAAGCTGATATTGCCTGTCTGATGGTGGAAGTGGAAAACACCATAACCAGGGCTGGCACCATACTAAAGCCTGACCAAAGCTAGGTGCTGGACCTGCTTATCTTTAAATCCTGAGAAACTATAGTAAGATAAATGAAAGAATGTGTCTTATAACATAGAGTGATATAAAGTACAGCTTGGAAGTAACTAGTTACAAACAACTAGTTACTTGTAATTAATTCAGTTCACTAACAATTAAAACTAATTGCATTACATTACAGCTGTATTTTATGTGGGATAACGTCATTCTGTCTGCGGTATAGAATTACACTGCAAAAAGAATGATGTGTTCTCTAATTCTGGGTTTGTCTACACGGTTAAGAAGGAGCAGGCTGGATCAGGCTAAATCCGATCAGTAGGAAGTCTGATACGCCCATTTGATGCATTTTTGCATCAAGTGACCATATTTCATCTGCAGCATCCTTCCTGTAATTTGCCAGTATAGTGAAGTGGCTTAATAAGACAGGCACTTGAGGATGTTGGCAAATTAATTATTTTCTCTGCTCCATGGTAGCCAAAATAATCTAAGATTACTGTTTTAAAAAATATATAAAGTATGTGTTAGACTGTAAATATTTGCTGTAACACTTTTAAAAAAATAAAAGATAAATGGAAGCTTTCCTTTGCTTTTCATGTAATGGTCAAGAATTTACTACTTGGCTGTCTACATGCCTCTCTGTGTGTTTGTGACTTGTGGTGGCTTGGCCTTTAACAGAGACAGGAAGGAGCAGTGACTTTTTTTGGTTTGTTTGCTTTTTCCACATGGGTCTCAACTGGACCTTTAAAAAAAAGCAACCAGAAATCCCACTTGTTGCCCCCTTCTGTCTCCTCCTGCCACGGTTACTTCGCTTCCCCTAGTAAAAAGCCAACACACATGAAGCCCCCACCCCTGCAAAGGCTCACAGACAGCCGAATTATGACTTAGGAAACTAAGAAGGGTTTCCAAGCCTTTTCAATTTCAGGGCTATGGTTTGTGGGAGGTCTTCTGACCACCAGCAGCCCTATGTTCTCCAAGGACTGAAACACAAATGCCAATTTATTGTCTTGTTTTGCGTACGAGTAACCTTGAAAACTCACTGAAGTTCTTCGTACATGCCTCTGTGTGTGTTTGTGGCTTGGCCTTTAACAAATGGCAAGCGCAGTGGCAGCAGGAGGAGACAGGAAGGAGCAGTGACTTTTTTTTGGTTTGTTTGCTTTTTCCAGCTGGGTCTCAACTGGACCTTTAAGAGAAAAGCAACCAGAAATCCCCCTTGTTGCCCCCTTCTGTCTCCTCCTGCCACGGTTACTTCGCTTCCCCTAGTAAAAAGCCAACACACATGAAGCCCCCACCCCTGCAAAGGCACACAGACAGCCGAATTATGACTTAGGAAACTAAGAAGGGTTTCCAAGCCTTTTCAATTTCAGGGCTATGGTTTGTGGGAGGTCTTCTGACCACCAGCAGCCCTATGTTCTCCAAGGACTGAAACACAAATGCCAATTTATTGTCTTGTTTTGCGTACGAGTAACCTTGAAAACTCACTGAAGTTCTTCTTCTGCAGCTGTGCCAATTTTTAATTCCATTTTGGTTGAGTATTATCCAAAAACCCAACACCCCCATTTTTGGTCTGTTTTTCATTTTGCTTAATTATTAGGTTGTGTCCTGTAGCAAGTTATTGTTCTTTTTATTGCCTCCTATTTATAGTTGTGTGGATAGTTTTGTGCCCAATTTTGCCAAATTGGTGGGGAAAAGAATGGCTCAGATTTGTTTTTTTAAAAAAATGCAGGCATAAGATTTAGATAGTTTAAAGGCTGTGAAAGGATAAAATTAGATTTTTAAAGCGTTTTAATAAAGATATCATGCTAAAACTTAATGTCAGCTGGCTACTGAGAGACCCATCTTGATCAAACTTATAGAAATTAGTAGTTCTACAGTTTGTTTCTGTTTCAAAGGAATGGGTCACCCTCTAGCTTTGCCCATCCTGGAATCAATTTGAATTCTATGCTTGGCCAAGTAGTAGTGCTGTTATGTCTCTCTGAGAACATTGAGTCCATAATTCTCATTTAAACTGGTATTGATTGCCAGCCATGAAGACATGACCTTATGTGTTGTGGTGAGTAGAAGCAGATGTTGTTCATTACATGGGGATTTAGTTTACTTAATTTACCCATAAATATTTCTTAGACCCATTTACAAAATCCTTTTACAGCCTAATCACAGGAGGACATTGTGGAGATTAGTTTAGCATTGCCAATAAAGCAGTAGGAAGTGCCCCTAATGTATGGGAGGGGACAGATACCCCACCTATAGAGAAAGTGATATCTCTGTGTGCAAGAAGTCATGTATCCTTGTAGAAAAGGGCTTTGGTTTTCCACATGCTGTTGGCCTTCAGTTCCCATCAGCCCCAGCCAGCTTGGCTACTGGTAAAGGATGATGGGAGCAGTAATTCATCATCTGCGGAGTAACAAGTTCCTTGGTCCTGCTTTTGAAACTGTATCTTCACCACAAGTGAGGGTAGTAGGACAGTTTGGGGGCTACAAGAGAGGCTGATGATGTGGTGGAGGCACCGTTTCTACAGCCAGAATTCCAGTACTCTGTTGCTGCTTCATACTCATCAGCATCTTCTACCTGAGGTGGCTCTCTTACTCTGCCTATCAGCCCCAGCCTGTGCACATATTCAGAATACTTGTAGCACATCTGGAAGGTAAACTTATGTTTTATCCTTCTTGTTGCCTTATGATTTCTTGATAATAAGGCAACCAGAATTCTGTCACTCTTTCTTCTTCCCTGTCTCTTTCCGCTGAGTGCAAGCCTATCTATAGGCAGACATGCATAGATGCTGTTCCAAGGTTTTCCATGGGCCACCACCCCAGTCTTCCATGCCATCACTTGTGAAATCTACAAGCTCTCTGAACTGCTGGTCATAGCTGCACCAAAGTTGCCTTCATAGGAATATGTGGTTGGTGAGAATCAGTTTATCAGCTGCATCACCCTGGTATTTCAGTAGCCCAGAACTGGTTTTCAGACTTGCAGGGGCATGGATAAAAAGCTTAATTTCTTTGAGAGGTAGATGCTCCCAAGCTGGCCCTACCATTAACCAACCACTTCAAGCAACAGATGTGTGATGCCATTAAAGGTTAATGTTAGTTATTGAATATGTTATTATCGAATCATAGAAAAGTGACGTTGGAAGGGGCCTACAAGACCATGAAGTCCAACCCCCTGCTCAATGCAGGAATACAATCAAAGCATATCTGCCAGGTGATTATCTAGGTTTTTCTTGACTGCCTCTAGTGTTGGAGCACTCACCAACTCCCAAGGTAACTGGTTCCAGTGTTGTATTGCTCTAACAGTCAGGAAGTTTTTCCTGATATTCAACCAAAATCTGGCTTCCTTTAACTTGAGCCCATTGTTGCGTTTTCTGCACTCTAGGATGATCAAGAACAGATCTTGCCCCTCCTCTGTATGATAGCCTTTCAAATACAGTATTTGAAAAGTGCCATCATATCATCCCTCAGTCTTCTTTTCTCAAGGCTAAACATGCCCAATTATTTCAGCCTTTCCTCATAAGGCTTGGTTTCCAGCCCCCTGATCATCCTTGTCACCCTCCTCTGAACTTGTTCCAATTTGTTAGCATCCCTTTTGGAGTGTGGTGTCCAGAACTGAACACAATACTCAAGGTGAGGCCTAACCAGTCCTGAATAGAGGGAGACTAGCACCTTGTGGGATTTGGAAACTATACTTCTATTAATGCAGCCGAAAATAGCATTAGTCTTTTTTTTAGCCACATCACACTGTTGGCTCATATTTAGCTTGTGATCTACAACAATTCCAAGCTCCTTCTTGCTTGTAGTTTTGCTGAGCTAGGTATCCCCCATCTTGTAACAGTGCAATTGGTTTCTTTTTCCGAGGACTTTGCACTTATCCCTGTTGAAATTTCATTCTGTTGCTTTCAGCCCAGTGCTCCATCCTTTCAAGTTCATTTTGAATTTTGTTTCTGTCTTCTAGGGTATTAGCTATTCTGCCCAATTTTCTACCATCTGCACATTTGACAAGCATTCCCTGCACTCCCTCATCCAGGCCATTAATAAAAATATTGAAGAGCACCAGGCCCGGGACTGAGCCTTGGGGTACCCCACTTGTGACCTCCTCCCAGTTAGAGAAGGACCTATTAAACATCACCCTCCAAGTTCAATTCTGTAGCCAATTGTGTATCCACCTGACACTTCGTCTATCCAGCCCACACCTAGTTAGTGTGCTAATTAGGATATCATGGGGCACTTTGTCGAAAGCTTTGCTCAAGTCAAGATATACTACATCTACAACATTCCCTCTGTCTATCAGGGACCTGATCAAAACACAAGATCAAATTAGTTTGGCAGGATTTGTTCTTGACAAATCCGTGTTGGTTTCTAGTTATTATTGCATTGTTTTCTAGGTGGTTGCACAATTACCACTTTAGGATCTGTTCCAGAATTTTGTTTGGGACTGATTTCAGGCTGGCTGGCCTGTAGTTCGCAGGTTGCTCTGTTTTACCCTTTTTGAAGATAGGGACAACATTGGCCCTCCTCCAATCCTCTGGCATCTCACCCATTTCCCATGATTTCAAGAAAATAATGGATAGCAGTTCTGAGAGTTCTTCAGCCAGTTCTTTCAGTACCCTCGGTTGCAGTTCATCTGGCCCTGGAGATTTGAACTCGTTCAAGGTGGTAAGGTATTCCTTGACTTTTTGTTTATCTCCAGCTGCAATCCTGCCCCCCCCCAAACTTGGACTTCTAATTTGTCTGGAAGTTCATTGTCTACTTTCTTCTTCCCTGTCTCTTTCCGCTGGGTGCAAGCCTATGTATAGGCAGACATGCATAGATGCTCTTCCAAGGTTTTCCATGGGCCACCACCCATGGGTTTGTTATCCTTTTCCCATCTCCATTGCAGAGCTATGCCACTATGTCTTTTGTTTGTCTTTTGCTCCCTGCAGAATGCTTTTTTAAAAATTGCTTTTAGTGTCTCTAGCTAACCTCAGCTCATTCTCAGCTTTTGCCCTCCTAATGCCATCCCTGCATTTCCTTGCTACTTGTCTGTACTCATCCTTGGTGGCCTGGCCTTCTTTCCATTTCCTCTACATGTCTCTCTCTCTCTCTCTCTCTCTCTTTTTTTTTGGGGGGGGTTTAGGTCCTCCCTGACCTTTTTGGTGAAACCACACTGGCCTTTTTTGCTCCCTTCCCCCTTTTTTTCTTGTTGGAATTGTTTATAGTTGTGCCTTTAGAATTTCTTCTTTTAGAAGCTCCCATCTTTCTTTGACTCCTTCTCTTGTTAGAATCTCCTGCCATGGGACCTTACTTATCCTCATTTTGAGATTATTAAAATTGGCTTTTTAAAAATCCAGCAGACGTGTGTGGGTACACTCTGTTTCATTTCCTTTGAAATCAAGAATTCTAGAAGGACATGGTTACTCTCACCTAGAGTCATTGTAATTTCACTACCAAAGAGATGGAAAGTAGTTACAGGATTTTCTGCCTTTTGTGCCTAAATAGCTTGCCAGATTAGATACTATAGCTGGTGTATGAAGAAGAGGCATTTGTTGCTTTGTCCTTAGATTGCAAAAATGTCTTGGGCCACCCCTGAGATGTTCTGTGATTAGAAGGAAATGCAACTGCTTTGGCACCTAAGCTACTTTCTCTTTTTTCTTCATGTAGACAAAATAGCCATTCCAGATTTTGGCACCGGTGCCATGGAGAACTGGGGGCTGATCACTTACAGAGAAACTAATCTCCTTTATGATCCACAAGAATCTGCTGCTTCTAACAAGCAAAGAGTAGCAGCTGTAGTTGCCCATGAACTTGTTCACCAGGTACAGTTTATGAGTTATTTTACGAGCTAAGATTAGAAATCATATTGCACTGAAGAGAGTAATAATCCACTCATCCCACATATAGTTGGATTCTTCTCAATATGTTTATTTCTCAGTGGTAAAATAAGTGCATTAATTTTAAAGCTTTAAAGTACTGGCATTTATTTCAGAGTTACAGTTAACCACAGTTTCCCATGTTTGGACAGCATAATGAACTGTGGCCAATTGAAAACAGAAATGAAAGCCCACAGCTCCTCCTCAGAGCTGTACTAGGTGTGAAGCCTGAAGGAGGCCATGTTCATTGTCCTTACAATAAACCATGATTTACTGTGGTCTCTGAACTCAATCAACCTTAAAGCGATTACCAATATACAAAGCAGCAGCAATTATTAGCGCTCTGACCAACTAAAAACATGAGCAATTAAAAGCACTTACACTTATGTAGTACCAGGTAAGAGATGTCGCTAGACAATATCAGGTCATTGCCAAGATGTTCTGGTTCTCTGTCACCATATATATAATCTCCAAAAAGTGTCTAGAAGCAGTGTGCCTGAAATTATCCATACCAGGCCAAAAACAAAAGGAAAATAAAAAATAAAGAAGACAAACATGTTGTGGCACCTTAACGACTGACTACTATATTTTAATGTGAGCCCCCTCAATACTGTAGCTATGAGGAGAAGTTGTGGTTGCTGGCACGTTGTCCTGAGATTATCCAGATGACCTGAATGGATGGATATGGATATTGAGATGGGAGCAACTGGTCCTGGGAGATAAACTCTGTAACACCTTGATCGGGACACTGTTAACAACTTGGGAGCCTTACTGCTCCATGAGCAGTGCCCCCCTTTTTTTCTCAAGTAATATCTTCCTTGCAGTTATGCAACAGGGTGTGTACTTGTACAAGAGGTTCTTGGAGTGTGCCTGGCACAAGCTATTGAAAAAAGACAACCACTCATGCAGTGTGCAATTTTGTGTGCAGAAAAAAGAATGAGCCATACTGAAAAGCAAAACTGAAAAACAAAACCAAATTTTCTAAACAATCTCAAATTGTGCCGAGGGCAAACTCCATATATATAAAAAGATTTTTTTATTAATTTTAACGCAGTAGAATGCTTTTACTGTAAAAGAATATGTTTCATTATTGAATAGGTTTGTTATGTACAAGTTTGGTAAGCTAACACTGATCTGCATTGATAACACTGTGAAGGTTTTTGGTTTTTTCTTTCTGCTTTCTGTTGCAGTGGTTTGGAAATATTGTGACCATGGATTGGTGGGATGATCTGTGGCTCAATGAAGGATTCGCCAGTTTCTTTGAGTTTCTTGGTGTAAATGCTACAGAAGGGGATTGGCAAATGGTAAATGCTTATTGCTTGATCTTACGGAACATACTGTTTGAAGGAGATATTTGACCATGCGCATCAGCCTTTAAGCCATGATAAGCATGTATTTAATACATAAGTATATTTGTAAACTCATGTTTATTCAATACGTAGACAGTACTGAGCCTTCAGTCTGTTTCTTTCTAGCATTCAAGTAAGTACTGTACCCCCCAAACAGATTCAGTGGTTGCCAGCGAAGCATAACAGGTTTCTATGCAACAATTTTAATGACTGCTCATTATTTCAAAATGTTATTTGGGGACATTTCTGTAGGACTTTGCATTTTTGTTTGTTTGTTTGTTTGTATTTTAGTGATTAAAACAATTGAAAAAGAGCACATTACTAATATGTGACTATTGAGAAACAAATTAATTTTCTAAAAATAATTCTAATAAGCTTTGCTATTAACATGGTAAAAGACATTCACAAAATTAAAATACCAAGTGTTGACTTGTGATAATATTTCTCCAGCAAATTGAAGGTATGATTAGACTACTCAAATAAATTGGGAGCTGGACTGGGGTTATTTTTTTTGAAGTTATTTAAATTCATGTGGTTTGGGGATCGGTGTGCACCTTCTCATGGGCCAACTTTCAGTCTGAATGTAAGGTGTGTGTTTGAGGGGGCTACACAAACTTTTAAAATCATTTTAAATGTGGCAATGCAGAGCTCCAGTTTCCTTTGTTTCTCCCTGCTGGGGCTATGCATTCCTGGAGGGAAATGTCTGCAGCAAAAAACAAAATTAATTAATTAATTAATTCAATTTGTATTCTGCCTGATGTAGTGTACCTCCACTCTGGTAGTTTACACATAAAATATGACAAAATTATGACAATATCAATAAGTCCCTTTTAAATCAATTTTAAAACAAAAGCTATAAGAACAACGAACAATGGTAACATAAAATACATGCAGAAAGAAAAAAATTAAGAAAAATTAGAAGGTAAAAGATTTAAGTACTAGTAGAGGTTGTTATTAAAAGCCATTAAGGATCCTGAGTTATTCACAGGAAGAATGCTATTATTCTATTGTATTTTATCGTTGTTGTTGGTTAAGGATCCTAAGTTATTCGCAGGAAGAATACTACCCAAGGCCTCTCTGAACGGCTCTGCCTTCATTAATTTCCAAAAGATTTGAGTGGAGTGGACCTTCCACACCTCTGGTGGAAGCCCATTCCACAAGAGTGGGGCCACAACTGAGAAAACTTAAAAAAAGTTGTGTTGCCATAGCTACGAGGAGATGCTATGGCTGTTGGCACATTTCCTGGAACTGCTTTTGAGGGTTTTGTCTTACACTTGTCCAGCCTTGCACTGGCTGCCTTTCTTCTGTAGTGTGATTTTTTTAAAGCTTTTAAATATTTTTTCAAACTGACATAGCACTAGATCAGTGTTACCGCTACTGTTATATATATATAACAGACCAGACTGCAAGATTACCCTGCAGCCTGAAACCCGTGATCCAATACTTGATAAAATCTACAGACACAATTTATTCTGTTACAGGTGAGCACACAGGGAAGAAGATTAAAAATAAATCATGTTCATAATCAAGTAAAAATAAACTGGTCCCTAGGAGGTGTTAAAAAAGAACCCTTGCTTTACCCAAAAAAAAAAAAAAAAGGTTCCTGGGGAAAAATGTTTATCTATCTGTCATGTAAACATATATTTTAAAATAGATTTCAAGTGCACCCAACTACACACATTTTGATGTGTAACCACACCCTGAGACTGCAGTGCTATACATTTCCATTTCTAAGCAGATCCTTTTAAATTCAGTGGGAGGCCGACGTAATAGGATCACAGTCTTCATTTTCTGCTTCTCCCCCTCTTCTGTTTCCTCCACAGCTGGACCAAATCTTAATTGAGGACTTGTTCCCTGTGATGAAGGAAGACTCATTGGTCTCTTCCCACCCTATTGTAGTGGATGTGTCTACTCCCGATGAGATTACTTCTGTGTTTGATAGTGTATCCTACAGCAAGGTGAGCAAGAGCGTATGTTATAAACACTTCAGCTTGAAAGGGGAAGACAAAAGTAGGCAGCATTTGAGTTGATTTGTAGCTTAAAGAGATAGGTTAGGAAATTGAAGGGAGTTGGTTTCATAGCCTGGAGTATAGTCTGGTCTCTGTGATGCTTTAACTCCAGTGCAGGAGAGATTGAAGACAGGTAACAGACATGATTTCCTGTGGCAGCAGGACTTTAGTACAAACAGTACTGAAGCAGCAGTTGCAGTAACAATCCTGGCTTCCTGGAGGTTGATCCTATTTCTTCTTTCCACACCAGACTGAATCTTCATTTGAGCTGCTATATGGTTCATCTAATGCACAGTAGCTCATCGCCAGTATTAAATTAATCCTCATACCTACATTTGAGAACATTGATATTAACATGCACCTTTTGAAATCGGCTTGAATACATAGATATATAGCATATCAACTGTATGATATTTAAATAACCACTTCAGTCCACAGTATCCTTCCATCCCTATCTCATTGCTTCCTCATAGAATTCAGGGGACATCATTGAAATGCAAAGTCACCATGAATAACGGGAGATCTTGCATTCCTGGTTAGAAGCACCCTACAAAAAGCTATGAGGTATAAAAGCTGGAATACTCTACAGGCTGCAGTTTTTGAAAACCTTCTGAGTATTCTCAGAAATGGCAAAATATTAAAGCAAAGGAAAAAGGAAAAAAAGCAGGGAAGACTTCATGGAGTATCCACTGAAACACAGCAAAGCTTCTGGGAGAGCTATTTAGGGCTGAAGGGTGGAGTTGTCTAACTGCGGTTGCCAAGCCATCTGTAAAATAGGCAGCATCTAACACTCCCACAAACCACAGTGAATTTGGGAGGGCTGGAGCTAGAAGGGTTATGTCTACTTCATCTCTGAGTTATTTTCATTCTCACACTTTCATGAGGAAGTCTGTGAGCTAAGGAACACTCTTCATTTAAATATAAGGATGTAAGAACATGAACAATATGTGCATGTTGTCAGGTTGCATAGAAATAAGAACATTACACTTCATCAGTGTATTTTGCTCAGGCAGGCAAAGGCCTTTCCAAGCATCAGGATGGAACCTCGCTTCTGGACTGAAACTAACACAAAAGACTCAATCTTTTTTCCCCCTAAATTTTGTTTGCTTAGGGAGCCTCAATCCTCCGAATGCTTGAAGACTGGATCTCACCAGAAAAATTCAAAGCTGGATGTCAGGTGAGTAATCTACTGAGATATGAGGGGAAAGGAGGAACATGTGTTCAGACTGGCTCATTGCGTGGGCAGGTCCCCACCACTGCAAAATCATAGCAGGGGTGTTTTGCTTCTCAAGGAGGAACAGACGGAAAGTTATAATTTGGCTTATGCTACAAGCTGGATTTCAGCTGTTATGTTGACCTCATGATGAAGCCACAACATTCACATTAGAGCTTTCATCTCTCAGCATATCTCTGTTCTAACTCAGTAGAAAGTTTCACACCATTTTTGGAGTGACTCTTATGTGATTGGCATTGATTGATTGATTGATTGATTGATTGATTGATTGATTTGATTTGATTTGATTTGATTTGATTTGATTTGATTTGTATATCACCCATATAGCCTAAGGTGACTTTCACAACATGATCAAACAGTAAAATTTAATAGAAAAATAATTAAACAGTTAGAAGCATTCAATATTTAAAAGGCAGTAGACTCAGTGGCTAAAATCTTTGATAGATTTCAATTGATGGGGATGCCTGTCTAAACAACCATGTTTTTAGAGATCTTTTAAAGGTCATCAGTAAGAGGTCTAGAGGCAGTTGATTCCAAAAGCTAGGTAAGACCACTGAGAAGGCCTGACTCCTAATCCACTCCATTTGGGCCTCTTACGGGGTCAGCGCCCTCAGACATCCCACCTGGGATGAACAGGTACAACAGGCATTTCTTGCTGGAAGGAGGCATTCTGTCAGGTGCCGAGGTCCCAGACTGTTTAGGACTTTAGAGTATATGCCTTGAAGCCAGCACAGAAGTGGACAGGTAACCAGTGCAGTGCAGCCAGGGTTGGGGAGATACGTCGGCATTTACTGGCTCTACCCACTAGCCTAGCTGCCATAATTTGGACTTGCTGGAGCTTCCATGTCAGCATCAAGGGAAGCCCCAGGTAAAGAGCATTACAGTAGTCTATTCTTGAGACTACCAGTGCATGGACCAGTGTGATGAGTGACCAAGTGTCCAGGTAAGGGCACAATTGCGCAACATGTCTAAGGTGAAAATAGGCAGATTGGACCACAGAGGCTATCTGGTTCTCCATTGATAGCACTAGGTCCAAAAGAACACCTAGGCAGCACACCTCATCCCTAGTGGGGAGAGTAGCCTTGCCAAAGGAGAAGGAGCTGCCCAAACCACCACCAACAGGGATACTCACCCAGAGAATCTCTGTCTTGTCTGGGTTCAACCTCAGTCTAGTATCCCTCATACACTTCAGCACAGCAGCCATGCAGTGCTCAAGGGATGGCACAGCATCCACTGCAGAGAGGTAGAAGAGAGATAGAGTAGTGTGTCATCTGCATATTGATGATACATCACTCATAATCTCTGAATGACCTCCCAGTGGTCTGATATAGATGTTAAACAGCAATAGGGAGATGACTGACCCCTAGGACACTCCACAGTTGAGGTCCAAGGGGTAGATAACTCTCCCAATTGCACTCTCTGGGGGCAGCCCTCGAGGAAAGATTGGAGCCAGTACATAACCAGGCCACCAATTGCCAGTTCAGAGAGCCTTCCCAAGAGGATACCGTGGTCAACAGTATCAAATGCTGCTGAGACATTGAGGAGGATCAGCAGGGACACCTTGCCCCTGTCCAGCTCTCTCAAAAGGTCATCATACAGGCTGATCAATGTCATCTCCATGCCGTCACATGGCCTAAACCCAGACTGGAATGGATCAAGGGCATTGTTTTCCTCCAGAGCTGCCTCCACTAGCTTGGTAGGAATAGAGATTGGCATGAATCAAAAAACAAACCAGGAAGGTCATTGAAAATCATTGGTTTGTTAGTTTGTTAGTTTCAAAGTTATCAAAACCAATGAACCCCAACCACCCCAAACCACGAACTAGTTTTGCAATTTCATGAACTTCCTGGTTCATCCCCACCCCGGGTCACCTTCCCACTGCCCTTGTTGCCTCCCTCCCTAGCCCTGCTTCCTCTTCCTCTTCATCCTCCCCTACCACCATTTTCAGAGACAGTAGCCTGGCTTCCGTTCCGGGAACCGGGTCGGTTGTCTCTGCACCGACAGTGTAGAAACAATGCTGTGATAACCAAAATAATTCAGGTTAAGTGATACAACATATATCACTTTAAACAGCACTTTGCAGCAGGATAGGATTGCGATGGAGTTAATAGCCATAGCAATGGCATGAAACCTTATCTGTGGAAACTGTGTCTTCTTTAGCTTGCCTGGAGTCAGTGGGAATGCTCTTTTGGCCATATGACTGACATTTTCAGGAGGAGTACTCAATTATTATCATTGTGAGCCATTTCCCTGTAAAGAGATCATTTGTCAACTTTGTAAGTGCCATTAAGCCAACATTCAGTTTCTGTCCCTATTAAAGTACTTTGTGCTTCAGCCCAAGCCCTCTTTGGGGCTGAATCAAATGTTTCTCCTGGCTGCCCTTAGAAGAGACTCTAGCTGTTATGTTGTTTAAAAGAAAATAATTTCCCACATCATTACACATCATGCTGATGCCCTCCCTTATACCACTGATGCATCTAGGGCTGAGAGCCAGAGCTGAAATCAAATTGATAAAGATAATCTGAGTCCACAGTAATGCTTCCACCCACTGTCCCCTTGCTAACAGAGAAAGGTCATGATGATTATTGTGGGAGAGGCTAATTGAATGTATTGCCTTCTACTCCTGCTTCCCTGTTCATCAACAAACTCCAAGGTCATCTGGCCACTGATCTACATATCAGAGCTGTACTTTGCTATAAAATTTATACACTACAGTAGTGTGATCTCCTAAGCGACTCTTATGAAAATACTGCTAGAGACGAGAGGGAGACAGACAGCGCCATCTGCTGTCCTACTGTAGGCAAGAATTTCTGGAAATCACTAGGAAAAAATGAAAGCACCTTCGAGAGAAAAGCAAGCATCCATGGAAAAAATGTTGCTTTTCTCCAGTATCTACAGATGCCTAAATCCCTTGACCAGCTTATAAGTGGCCATGCTGGCTATGGGATTCTGGGAGTTGAAGTAAACAAACAAACAAACAGGTTTCCCATCTCTGTAAGTAATGATTTTGTAGTTGAGTGTCATGCCTATTTACTGGGATGAACAGAGCAGGAGTAGTAGGGAACCCAAGCCACCGTGATTTCTTTTTGGCAATGCTAAGCAAATGCTTCTATTCAGGCAGGGACATATACAGTATATGCAGGTAGTTTCAGAAGGATCTAAAACATCTTTACACATTTGAAAAACTAAAGAAAGGGGTCAAAAGCCCTCTTATCTCTCTGGATCTCTTTCTTTCTCTCTCTCACACACACACCCATAAACACAGTTTCATTTAATTCATTTCTTTGTTGGTTTTATTTATAGGCTGCCTTCCTCCTGATAAGGGGACCCAAGCTGTCTCACAATATTAAAAGGAATAGAGTTAAGAACATAATAAATGAGACATTAAAAACAATTAAACTATTTGCTAATCAAAATGCAATTGAATAATTAAAAGCAAGTGAACTTTACAAACTCTCTTCACTCTAAAAAGGCATTCGGGGATTCAATCCTGACTGTTAAAAGCCTACCTGAAGTGATGGGTCTTCAGCTATTGGCATAAGGATTAAAGGGCAGCCTGGTTGGTGTCCCTGTTACTATCACTGCTCCTTCCGTGCCATTATCAGGAATGAATTATAAAAGTATCCTTCTCTTTGGGAGTGTTTTCTTTGCAAGAAAGGCCAGTCTTGGCGGAGGAAGCTTTTATGCACATTCCCCAGAGTGATGTTGCAGGAGAGTAATGCCAACCTCATCACTTTAGGAAGGGGGAGAGTGAGCCTGACATACAAACCATAGGATCATAGAGTAATGGAGTTTGAAGGAGCCTATAAGGCTATCAAGTCCAACCTTTTGCTCAATGCAGTAATCCAAGCTACCATCCAGTAATATAAGTATTTCTGCCCTGCCCGCTTAGAAAAAGTAACTCAGAAAAGTACTTTTGGACCCCAAGAATCCTGCAGCCCGTATTCTGCTCCCATGATTTCTTGGAATTGGAGTATAAAAAGATAAACTTTTTTTAAAAAGCTCTGATGCTTGCCTTTCAGTCACTGGATGAAATACATGACAGTCGTGTATTATGGGGATGATACAGTATGTTGATTGCATAACCAGGGATGGCTAAAGTTACTGGTTTGGATAGCAACTCACAGAATTCCACCATTAGCATTGCCACTCCTGTGGGGGCTGTGGGATTTTGAGTTGTAATCCCAAAAAGTAATGTTCCCCATCTCTATATGGAACCACTTATATTCCAGTTTTGAACTGCAGGCACTTAACATGTATATGTGTTCCACCATATATATGTGTTAAGTGCCATCAACTCACATCCAACTTAAGGTAGCCCTAATAAGGTTTTCAAGACGTATGAGATGTTTAAAGAATGATTTTACGTTCCTCCAGTGAGTTTCTATGGCTGAGTAAGGATTTGAATCCAGGTCTCCTGAGTCCTAGCCCAACACTCTATCTGCTGCACCACACTGTCTCTTTATGACACTCACTATATCCATGAATCAAGGGCAGCTGGGCTGATGCAGATGAACAAAGCAGTTCAAGGTCTTCCTTCCTTCCTTCCTTCCTTCATCTACTAGGAACAAGTCTTTGGTAAAGCTATTGGAGTCACAGTTTTCCATTCAAGACCAAATGCCCTGACATACTGTGAATTACATCAGGGCTGAGATTACTCACAACAGCATATAGTTGCTTGGGAAAATACATCACCCACCCAGAAGTGGGAGGATTGCAGCTAGCCTTTGAAGGAGCCAGGATGCTTGAGGGGCTGGCAGATGACAGAGCAGTCCCTGCTGATTAAGAAGTCACAGTCTCTTTGACACTGTCAACCCTACCTCTACCACAACACACTTGTACTGTAATACAACATTACTATTTGCTAGCTATGTTTATTTTACCAAAGGGGGAAGCAACTGTGCTTAAAAAGACACCTGGAAGAGGGTGGGGGGGGTCATACCGTTTTCCTTGTCTCATGGCAACACTACACGGTCTATTTCATTACCAAGTGTTTATGTACATGTTGTGATAAAATATACTACACAGGTTATGTCCGTGTGTGTTGCTCCCTTTCCCTTCAGTTTCCTAGCAAACTGAGCATTTAATGATACCAAGAAGGAATAGGTATCATCCAGCAAAGTAGCTTTCACCTGTCCTGCTTATCAAGTGTAACGATTCTGTTTTCAAAGCTGACCTCAGGTAAAAGTTTGACAGGAGATGGAAAATTATGTCTTAATTAAAACCCAAAATGCAGCAAGGTGGAAGCAGTGGAATTTAAAAGACAGTTCAGTAAAAACACAGCTGTTTCCTGACATTGCAATCCAGAGTGAGTAATGTGCTTTCCACCATACTCCAGTCTTGCATGTCTGCAGGATCCCTTCTCTGGTGCCTAAAAGAAAGTTTCAACACTTTTGAAAGGACAGGCCTATTTTTTGTCCAGCAGTGACATTGGGAGTCAGCATTTTCCAGCCTGACATATTTATTGGGCAGCACATTAGAGGAGTTTGCGAGCTTGGAGAGAGAGTTCTCTGGCCGTGTTCTTTTTTGTTTTGTTTTGTTTACTGAAGCCTACATGGTGTACCTGGATTATAAATTCCTGTCTTGTTAAATGGATGAGAGTTATTTTAAGAAGTGTTCTTGAATAATGGGAATGTAAGGTGGACCAGAGTATAATGAGAACAATCTGCTCTCTTACATAAATAGCTTTTAATTGAAAGGATTAGTTAAGGTCAGTGAAAGTTACATTTGAAATTATGTTTTAAACCATACATAGGTTTCTTTTTCTTTCCTCTCCTTTTCAAAAAATGAATTGAGATCTCCTGGTTGTTGTGGGTTTTTCAGGGTCTTGAAGGTTGTGTTCTGAAGGTTGTTCTTCCTAACGTTTCGCCAGTCTCTGTGGCTGGCATCTTGAGATCTCCCTTACTCATGGAGCTGGCTAGATTGCTCACTGGTTTAGGTGTCTGGCTATGGGGCCAGAGGTTGGGAATACAGTCAATTCCACACTGTATCTCCTGCAAGTAGAGCCAGCCTGTATGACCTTGGGCAAACTGCACAGTCCCAGGGCACCCTCAGGAGAAGGGAATGTTAAACCTCTTCTGAGTATTCTCTACCTAGAAAACCTTGAAAAGGGTCAGCATAATTGTAATGGTAATTATTATTGGTATTACTCATGTTGCAGTGCTTTTCTATAAAAACTATTTTATTTCATTTAGATGATTGAATTTGCTGGGTGTTTAGTGTTTTATAATTGTTGATCCTGGAAATCTTCTACACCAGAAGTGATTGGAGTGCAATTCCCATCAGCTGTAGTCAGCATAACCACTGGTGAAGAATGATGGGAAAATGAGGTCAATCAACATCTTCTGGGCCACAAGTTGCCCATTGCTGATAAACATATTTATTCACAAATAGTACTTTGTTCAATAGAATTTCTGGCATCATCACCTTGGATTGTGCCTAGAAAATATTAGAAAGAAAGTCAGAATGTGTAATTGAGACTTATTGATTCACACTCTCAAGAAGGTGTCCAGTACTTCCTTAAGAATTTAGCTTGAGAACATATTGACTGTCATGATGAGTGATAATGCTATATCTGGACTCTTTCTGTTTTCTCCCACAGAAATACCTGGAATACTATAAGTTTAAAAATGCAAAAACTGATGATTTCTGGAAAGCAATGGAAGAGGTGTGTAGGTTCTTTATATAAAATATTTCTGTTCTTCTCTTATGCAATACCACTTCCCCCTTTTGCTTTGAAAGATAATGATATGGACAATATCTCTATTTATTTCAAATGTAGCTCTTCTGGATCACACAAAATCCTACTGAGAGCTGCATTTTTTTTTCCTGAACAATTTTGGGGAGAATGATCAGGTGTGCTGGTGGGACTTAAGCCATTGCAAGATTGCTTTCCCTGGTGCCTAGTAGAACCATGAAGACTACTTCTTAAAAACTCTTCCTATTAGAAACACTAGTAGTTGGTCTCAACTCTTTTTATTTCAGCTGCCTTGCCATGTCTTGAACATCTGCCTCTTTAAGGGCTGCAAGATGTGGCAATCCTTTTAGGGAAGCCATTTGCTTTGCCTCATGTGTTGTATTTACAGTCATTTGGACCAATGATGTCCATGTGATTCCTAACGTCAGAATTTAAGAGAGAAAACTGTTCTCTCTATAGGTTCTACCTCCTGAGTTATATCCTTTTCCCCATCTGCTTGGCCTTTCTCAACATGATCATCTACTATTATTCTTAGGTGAGTGGTGAGTCAGTCAAAGAAGTAATGGACACCTGGACGAGACAGATGGGATACCCTGTGCTGGATGTGCATTCGAACTTAACAATCACACAGAGGCGTTTTCTCCTAGATCCCAATGCAGACCTTTCTCAGCCACCTTCAGTGTTCAGGTATGTTTTCTTCAACATTTGAGTATGTTTTTGCAATGTTAGTTAGAGACCAGACTGAGTCTCATTTTGCTTCTTCTTAGTGACTTCACTGCATGAATTGCATTCAGAAGTTAGACACTACAGAACATGGGAATGGGTAAAGTGTGACCCTCTAGATCTTCAATTCTCCGTTAGCACTACTCAGCAAAGGCAGTAGTGAGAATACTGAGAAATGTAATCCAATAACATCTGGAGAACTCCATGTTGCCTACACTGCTATTGAGGGATAATTTCTTTCAGCACTTACATCAGGGATAGGCACCTATTGCCCTCCAGATGTGGTTGGATTGCATTTCCCATCTGCCTGAAATAACATGACCAGGAGTCAGGAATGAAAGAGCTGTTAAGAGCCTCGTGGCGCAGTGGTTAAAATGCTGTACTGCAGCTAAAACTGTGCTCACGCCCTGGGGTTCAAATCCCAGGTAGCTGGCTCAAGGTTGACTCAGCCTTCTATCCTTCCGAGGTTGGTAAAATGAGTACCCAGCTTGATGGGGGGGGGCAATGTGTAGCCTGTATAATTAAATTGTAAACCGCCCGGAGAGTGCTTGTAGCGCTATGGGGCGGTATATAAGTCCAATAAATAAATAAATAAATAAATAATATGAAAATGTAGGGAAGCACAGGTTTCTCATGATATATGCTGTTATATGCTGTCAAGTTGCTTCTGGCTTATGGGAATCCTAATAGGGTTTTCAAGTTATGTCAGATATTCAAGGAATACTACCATCCTCTATGTTTCCATGACCAAGCAGGAATTTGAACGGAAGTGTCCTGAATCCTACTCCAGCACTCTGTCTGTTGAACTGCATTGGCTTTTCTCATCCTTATCCTAGCAAAATAATTCCAGCTTCACTCAAACTAACCTTGTGGATTTTACATAATTGCTAGCCTCTTTTAAATGCTGTCAGCTCATCAACCTCTTTGAAATGTGTTGCCATATTTTTTGTGTGAATGGTTATAAGAAGTTCTGTGAAGTTTTTTCACCCAGATAGGGTGACTCCAAGACAATTTGCTGCCTGAGACAGTGGTGCCCATTCCCAAAATAGACTGTCAGTAGCCTCTTAATCAAAACAGGCAGTGGGGTAGATTTACTGCAACACAGTTGAGGACAGCCAGTTCTGGGAGCATCAGGACAAGCCTTATTGTCTGTCTCTAACTGAGAAGGCTGGTCTATGTGTTTTTTATGTTGGAGAGCCTAGAAAAGTAACAATTTTCCTTTATTTCAAGACCATGAATAATCATATACATGTACAAAACGTTATGCATATTTAGCTACATTTTAAAAAATCTCCCCCCCCCCAAATCTTCAGTTACAGGTGGACTATTCCAGTGAAATGGAATAGGGGTGAAATAACTCGTACACAACTCTACAATAAATCAGTATCTGCAGGTAACTATTTATCAGGCAATGACTATCTATGAAATATGACTTTTTAAGAAGCAAGGAAAGGAGAAACATTGAGTTAAATACAGTATAAGCAATGCAGAGGGGGGACGTTTCTCATTGGTGGTTTTATACAATGAAATGCATAGCCTTCATGCTTAGCTATCTCAGTCATTTTAAGCTGAAAAGCTTAAACAAATCTAGATGACATTGCTACTGTTTGTCTAAATTCAAATAATTAAACATAGGAGGTAAGGATTTGAATGAACAGCCCTATTCAGAAGTTATTGAATTCATAAGTTTGAACATGCTTAGAGGGCAGCATGTAGCTATGGTTTCTCAGAGTAAAATACATATGTAGTAAGTGAAACAAATTAAAAGAAAAAAAATCTATATTGATGACCATGAGGTGGAAAGACACACAGAAGACAAATGAGTCTAGAAAGGAAATCAAGCCAATAAAAGCCATGAAATTAGATACTGGTTATCCACTTTAGGAAATACAGTGGTGCCTTGCAAGACGATGTTAATTCGTTCCGCGAAAATCTCTGTCTTGCAAAAACATCGTCTTGCAAAATGTGGTTCCCCAGTGGAATGCATTTAAATCTATTTAATGTGCTCCAGTGGGGGAAAAAATCATCATCTTGCGAAAACCGTCCATAGAAAACATCGTCTTGTGAAATGCGGTTCCCCATTGGAATGCATTGAAATCTATTTAATGCGTTCCAATGGGGGGGCGCAAACCGTCTTGCGAAGAACGGTCTAAAAAAAAAAGTCTTGTGAAACGCAGTTCCCCATTGGAATGCATTGAAATCTATATAATGTGTTCCAATGGGGAAAAAAACCGTCTTGTGAAGCATCAGTCTTAAAAAAAAAACACCAACTTGTGAAGCATAGACCCAAACATCGTCTTATGAAAATCGTACATAGGAAAAATCGTCTTGCGAAGTGCAACAGTGGTTGCAAAAACCCATCGTCTTGCGGATTAATTGTCCTGCTTGGCAATCGTCTTGCGAGGCACCACTGTGTATGCTCTTATAGTTATCTTGCCCTCATTTACTTCCAATGGCTATAATACAAGGCCTTCTTCTTCTTTGCTTCTGAGAAAAGCAACCTAGTTACCACAGTAAGATGAAATTTTCTGTAGTCTCAAGTTGAGATGGGCTGCCTTGTTGTAACTGGTAGTTCACTTCCTTACTTAGGATTAGTATTTGTCATTGTTGAACACACCTGAGATGTCTGGAGAACCTTCTCCTAGTAATCTTTTCAACTGCCCAAAGAAGTAACTTCTTCAGGCTCTGTAATAAGTATCCTGGATCAGGAACTGGAACTGATTTTTGTGTGTTCCCTCGCTCAAGGCTAATTTTATCACTAGCATTCTGGACTACATGCTAACTTGATTTCACAGCAATTAAAAGAAGCTTGGGATAAGTTTCAGAAGTGTAAAAAAGAAAAGAATCTGCCTGTGTTTACTGTGAACTAATCATTGCAGGAAGTGGTAGCCAATCTCTCCCCACCCCTACTCCCCAAAAAGAACAAACAATGCTTGCAGTCTGTCTAACCTAGAAATTTAGGCATCATTTCTATCTTTTTACATCTGCAGGCATTACAATTACACCGCCCAGTGATCCTGCTGCCAGTTCCTTCTTGAAAGTGAACCAGAATCACGTTGGGTTTTATTCTGTCAATTACGAAACACAAGTCTGGGATGACTTGGTCCATATTATGGTGAACAGCCCCCAGGTCAGTCTGCTGAAATTGTTCTAGCCATCAGTTTATGTGGGATGTGTATGTATGATTGTTTGCTCCCTGCATCTTGGTCTAACCCACTGAATGTCAGCCATGTCTTCTTTCTTTTTTTCTTCCACTAGAATTTCAGTCAGGCTGACCGTGCTGGCTTCATTGAGGATGCTTTCTCCCTGGCTAGGTAGGTGTCTGAATGAAATGATTACGGTAGACACATTGGCTGGAATCCTTGGGTATAATGATATGCTGTGTGAATGGGATGATGTCATCATCTGGAAGAGGGAATATTTAATTTAAAGTAATTAAAAGCTTTATAATCTCTCCTTTCAGGTGGAATGGCTCCCCAAGGCTCCCTTTTGCCTTGTGGAAGCCTTTATGAGCATCAGGATATGGCGACGGAAGCCTTTATATAGCTAAAAGTCACCGACGGATCATAGTTAGCAGTGATTTTCCAATAGTAAAGCTTTCAATTAATTTAAATTAAATATTCCTTTTGCCAGATGATGGTGTAACTTTACACTAGAAGATTCTGGCCATTGTGTTTCCACTTACATATTGAAGTTTCCATAGTGTTGTTACAACATATTATGAGAAAATATTTTCAAAAATGTGTATTTAGGTACAGATGTGTCACTGGATTATAGACTATTCATACTGGATTACTAATGAAATGGAACATATTAGAGTCATGCCTGAATATATTTAAAACTGATATGGACCAGAAGCAGGCCGAGGATGCAATCAGGTGGTGAATTCTCTCACAGTTTGGGCTACTTTTGATGCAGTTGGGTTCAGTCTGTTTTCTGGTGACTACACAATGGGCAGATTAGACCACTGTAATGTGCTCTATGTGGGGCTGCCTTTGAGGCTGCTGCGGAAAATACAGATGGTGCAGAATGCGGCAGCCAGACTTCTCAGTGGTGAGAAAAAATACCAACACATCTCACCCACTCTGGCTGCATTGCATTGGCTGCCCATCTGGTTCCGCATCGACTTCAAAGTGCTGATGCTTACGTACAAAGCCCTAAACGGTTTAGGGCCTCGATACTTGGCGGAATGCCTACTCCCACCAAGATCTACCCGTGTCACTCGCGCGAGCCAGGAGGTGAGGCTGAGGAGCCTAATGCCGAGGGATGCCCGGAATGAAAAGACCAGAAATCGGGCCTTCTCGGCAGTGGCTCCTCGCCTCTGGAACAACCTACCTCCTGAGATTCGCGTGGCTCCCTCGCTGGGTATCTTTAAAAATCAATTTAAAACATTTATGTTTCGGCAGGCCTTCCCTCCAGACAATTACTGATGCCCTCTTCTTTCCCTCTCCTATTGTTTCCTCCCATCTTGTCTAATGTTTCTTCTATGTAAAAATTGTTTTTATATTTACCTTTTGTGCTATTTTATGCTGTTAGCCGCCTAGAGTGGTCTTAACCGACCAGATAGGCGGGATATAAAATAAATAAATAAATAAATAAATAAATAAATAAATAAATAAATAAATTAAATAAATAAATAAATAAATAACTACCTATGAGAGCAACAGCAGACCAAGGAGGCTGCAGGCAATTGTGTCTCCTTGAAAGCAGATGAGGGGAAAAAACATGATGCCATGGCTTTCCCATGCAATAGGGTACACGAGAAGCTGTTCATACATAAATGCTTTCTCCTGAGCATGAAGGGGACAATTCCTTAAAGAGCCACACATTGGACTGCAGGACAGAGCTGTGGGCAAGATCTTGGTATCAGAGAAAATAAGCTTTCTCAGTGTTGCCTAGTCTCCCTTTTGTTCCATGGATAATGCAAATATTACATCTTGCCTTGCTTTTATATTGTAGGCCTTATTCTTGTAGAGTGCTTTGAAATATTGAGTTAAGCCACTGGTTCTTAACCTTTGTTACTCAGATGTTTTTGGACTGCACCTCCCAGAAGCCTTCACCATCAGCTCTGCTGGCTGGGGTTTCTGGGAGTTGCAGTTCAAAAATACCTGAGTAACCCAAGGTTAAAAACCACTGAGTTGAGCCATTTATAAATATTTGTATATAAATAAACATCGAAAACTATTATTGTTGTTGTTGTTGTTGTTAGTTTCCAGCACCATTAAAATAAGTTTGAACTATTTGAAGTGGAAGAAGCAAGACTATATGCAGCCAGTTCTTATTGGTTATAGTTCTAAAGTCTGCTCTTGAAAAACTGAATAGGATTGCAACAAGTTTATTGGTTTTTAATTCCTCAGGGCCAGACTTCTGAGATATTCTTATGCCTTGAACTTAACAAAATATCTGGAAAAGGAGGAAGAATATATACCATGGCAAAGAGCTATAGTAGCTGTATCTTATATCGGAGACATGCTTCAGGATGATAACGCACTCTATCCAAAATTTCAGGTAAGATTGTCCATTCTAGTTTTCTACAGGCAAAACAAAAACAAAAACATGCCATTATAAAAAATAAAGATTTTTAGAATTACACCAGAAGGCTAGATTAATATTTATTAATTTGGTTTGATTTGATTTCTTGCATTTATATCCTTTCTTTCCTTCAGTGAACACAAAGCATGGTGTCATCCACCCCACTTTCTTGGAACATCATTGTACCATGTGGTCTACATGATGTTCAACACTTGGAAAACAAGTTTGCTTGTTTTACTTTTAAAGTGGCTTTTGAAGACATGTTCATCAGACATGTTCGTCAAAATATAACTTTTTCGACTCTGACTATGCACATATAAAATATTTTTAGCAAAAAAGTAATAATGATTCTGACATAATTAATTAGATTACAAAAGTGAGGAATGTGTTATTCATTAATCTTTTAAATCATGTTATTTTAAAGGCCCTTTCCCTCCAAATAGCACTCTCAAAGTGACAAATTGCAAGATCAATAAATGCAATGAAAAGCAAAATAATAATTTTAAAAAATCAAAAAAAAAATCAAAATAATAACAAAATCTTGAGCAACATACACACACATACAGAGAGCAAGAGAGCTGCCAAATAGATATTTGGGTAGGCATGGGATTCTAGCTAAGCACCGTCTGAATGACTGTAATGACATGCTGAAACCATCTGTAATTCAGCAGAAATAGGAGGATCTCAGCGTGTCATCTCATCTTATCATTGTTTCATTATGGATAATTTGATAAGTCATTATAATTACTTGTCTTAAAACTCTCCTTAAAACATGAACACTGAAGCAAAGTTTTGCAGGGCCAGGAGGTTTAACAGCAATCCTATTCTCTGATATAATTGAAGAGTAGTTGTACATTTACGTGGGGTAGATACAGGGTACAGGAGAATAGAAAGGGAAAAAACAGAGATCTGTTCAAGAAAATTGGAGATGTTAAAGAAACATTTCATGCAAAGATGGACATGGTAAAGGACAAAAATGATAGGGACCTCACAGGAGCAGAAGACATCAAGAAGAGGTGGCAAGAATACGCCGAGGAATTATACCAGAAAGATCTGGATGTGTGGTTGCTGGCCTTGAGCCAGACATCCTGAAGAGTGAAGTCAAGTGGGCCTGAGAAAGCATGGCTAACAACAAGGCCAATGGAGGTGATGGCATTCCAGGTGAACTATTTAAAATCTTAAAAGATGACATTGTTAAGATGCTACACTCAATATGTGAGAAAGTTTGGAAAACTCAGCAGGGGCCAGAGGATTGGAAAAGTTTGGTCTACAAACCAATCCCAAAGAAGGGCACGCTGGCAAGGTTATGCTCAAAATCCTCCAAGGCAGGCTTGGAGGATTTTGGCTTCAGCAGTATGTTTTGGCTTCAGCAGAGAACTCCTAGAAGTACAAGCTGGATTTCGAAGGGGCAGAGGAATTAGAGACCAAATTGCTAACATATGCTGGATTATGGAGAAAACCAGAGAGTTCCAGAAAAACATCTACTTCTGCTTCATTGACTACATAAAAGCCTTTGACTGTGTGGACCACAGTAAACTATGGTGAGTTCTTAAAGAAATGGGAGTTCCTGATCACCTTATCTATCTCCTGAGAAATCTATATGTGGGACAGGAAGCAACAGTTAGAACTGGATATGGAACAACTGATTGGTTCAAAATTAGGAAAGGAGTACAACAAGGCTGTATATTGTCCCCCTGCTCATTTAACTTATATGCAGAATACATTATGCAAAAGGCAGGACTGGATGAATCCCAAGCTGGAATCAAGATTGCCAGAAGAAACATCAACAACCTCAGATATGCAGATGATACCACTCTGATGGCAGAAAGTGAGGAGGAATTAAAGAACCTCTTAATGAGGGTGAAAGAGGAGAGCACAAAAATGGTCTGAAGCTCAACATCAAAAAAACTAAGATCATGGCCACTGATCCCATCACCTCCTGGCAAATAGAAGGAGGCAGTGACAAATTTGACCTTCCTGGGCTCCATGATCACTGCAGATGGTGACAGCAGCCACGAAATTAAGACGCCTGCTTCTTGGGAGGAAAGCGATGACAAACTTAGATAGCATCTTAAAAAGCAGAGACATCACCTTGCTGACAAAGGTCCACATAGTCAAAGCTATGGTTTTTCCTGTTGTGATGTATGGAAGTGAGAGCTGGACCATAAAGAAGGCTGACAGCTGAAGAATTAATGCTTTTGAATTGTGGTGCTGGAGAAGACTCTTGAGAGTCCCCTGGACTGCAAGGAGATCAAACCTATCTGTTCTGGAAGAAATCAACCCTGAGTGCTCACTGGATGGACAGATCCTGAAGCTGAGACTCCAGTGCTTTGGCCACCTCATGAGAAGAGAAGACTCCCTGGAAAAGACCCTGATATTTGCAACTTAATGACTAAACAGCAACAGATACAGGATCTAACAGTTTGTCAATCTTTCTTAGCACTGATGCAAGAGAGAATTATTGCTAGTAGCCTCAAGGAGAGAACAACACAAGGATAATATTTCACTGGGACAAGTTCTGTTGACACAACAGATTGCAGACTTTTGAGACAACAATGGGTGAAGTTATAAAGTATATGGTGGGAAGACTCATTGGCCAAACACAGTGACAGTTGGGTGAGGAGTAACCTGATTATTTTGCTGAAGCCTCACCCACAACTGTCTTAGTGAAACTCCACCTGCGGTCAATGATCTCCTAAATGCAAAGATTCCTGCTGTGTTCTCTGACTAACATTAGCCCAGGATAAACAATCAACTCATCTTTCCAGTAATAGTCTCATCTCGATTTCACAAACTGCAGGGATAATAATCTATTGAGCTCTGCTCCTACACAATCCAGTGGGTTTCAGTTTTCTTACCTGGTAACCAAGCATAGTAGACTGAAATCAGGGCATCAGACTACAACAGGTCTGCTCTACTGACCCAGAAAAGTCATTGCTTTCATGTCTTAACAAACCACATATTGAAAATAAGATCATTCCTATTGCTGTTGCTTTCATTAAAAAAACCCAGATAATACATAATTGGGAAACCTCCTTGTTGGAAACTTCACAATGATTACTGGTGCCTCTATGGAAATTGCTTTGCACATTCTTCTTGTGTTTGTCTTCCAGGAATATTTCCGCACCTTGGTCAAACCCATAGCTGAGAAGTTGGGATGGAATAACGATGGAGGCCATATCGATAGGTGAAACATTTCTTTCCATTATGGGTCAAATAAAGGGGAATGTATATTTCCTACCTCCCAGTGACCAACTGCAAAATAAAAGCAGGTTAACTTGTAACCTGCCAAATGAGGCAAGGTCATACCAGGATGAACAGAGTTCTTTTACCTGTTAAGGGAGCTCTGCTTCCAATTACATGCTAACTCTGTCATCTAGTTTGGGACTCTCTCTATATAGGTATATTTATAGATATAGATATAAATATAGATATGTACAAACCTGAGCATGTTTCTTTCCTCTGATCTTTTCAAGTACATCAGTCCCTTGAAGGGCTTAGGTTGCAAATTAATGCCGCAGTCTTGTGCATATTAATGAAACATAAATGCATCCTAACTGATCACTGCAAAGCAGCTAGGGCCATTATCATTAAACAGGCAATCAATGCTAAGTTAAATAAGTCTTTGAATAACTGCATATGAGAAAGAAAACGTGAGCAAAAGTGTGGGGTGATGGTGATGTTAAAGTAGGATCATGACCACAATTCTTCACCCCCACTCCTCCTTTGAAGATCACCACCGACCTACAGTGTATCTTTCTCCTTTTCATTCTCTCTTTCTGTCCCCCAGCACTAGCATGCAGACTCCTGTTAGAAATATAGTCCCAACAGAGATAGCAACTGATAAGAACCAGGAGGAGCTCAGGTATAGACAATAGTTAGCTCAAGTGTGTTTTCCCCATATATATTTTTTCTTTTTAGATCTTTATGCAGATTAATACTCATTACTTTCTTCCTTTTCTTTCTGAGATTTCTCTTCTTGCTGTTCCTTTTTTTATTAGAGAAATGGCTGCAGACCTGTATAAAAGTTAGTATAGGGCTTTTTCAACCTATGTTTAGGGTTCTTTTTCCTCCTGCACTATCCCTCAATGGGTTTCCTAGAATACAATAAATAGTGAATTTATCTTTCCTTTTTGACAGTCTTGAGAGTGATTTGTTACAGCTCTGCACTGGGTTGCTGTAATGAGCCAGTAAATGCCAATTAATCCTAACCCATGTAAAATTGCTGTTGACTGAATGAGGATTGGAGGAAGGGTTTTCCAGACTCTTAATATATACTAGGAATGGGCAACTTGGTGTGGAGCACACTGGGTTCTCCCCAAATCTACTGGAGACCTCACTACCATCACCACCCAAATTCAGTGAAAGCCTTCAGCATTGTTGCTGAGGCTGCCACCATTGATGCTAAGTTCAGTAGTAACTACAGCAGCTTTCTATGGTAAAGATGTAGGCCAGAGCATCTTCTTGCCTTCTCAAAGGGGACAGAAGAGCAGGGGTGTTGTTTTTCTTTCTTTCTTGACAGCACCACTGACACTTATTTGTTAGTTTTCGGCAGTTGCACCTGGGGTTTTCTGCCAGTGGCACTGCTGGCTGCATGCTACTCGCTCCTAATATAACCACCAATGTTCTCCAGCTTTCACATGCTATGCCTCAAGTTGTATGTTTCCTGAAATCTCCACATAAGTCTATGAATCACATACATCGGATTTCTTGGAGCAGGGGGGGTTAATATGTAACTCTCTTGCAGCTAAAGTAAAATAAGTCGTGTGGCACCCTAAAGGCTAATACAGTTTGTTTGGCAAAAGCTTTCATGGGCTGCAGCCTACTTCATTGGCTACACAGGTATAATAGACTGTAATCACTGCATATATTGACAGGTATATACTAGAAAAGGCCAGAATTCAGGGACTTGCTTCAAGTCCATGCAAAAGCATCAGTTCAGGACCCCCTCCCTTTAAATAGTGAATTCTTCTGCCATACCATCTAACAACTTTCCATAATTCTCCCACTCACTGTTAGAAATGCTTTCTCATGAGCTATGCACGCTGTTCTTTCAGAGGCATAAGCCCAGGGGTGTACAAAACTGGTTGTACAGAGCTGAACCATTATTTAATATGCAACCTATGCAGAACTAAAGCAGATTTCTCTCCCTCTTCTTTCCTTCCAGTCTCCTTCGTACAACAGTTCTAGACTTTGCATGTGACATGAATGATCCAGAAGCTTTGGATAATGCAACTCGTTTATTCAATAATTGGCTAAATGGAGCAAGGTGAATATTTGTCTGTTTTCATCGGTTTCATTCAAAGAAACACATGGTATACATACACAAAGTAAAATGAAATATATCTCCTCCTTTCATGATTTTTTTTCGTTCCCCCAATGGTAGTCTAGATGTAAATCTTCGCCTCTTGGTGTATCGCTATGGGATGCAGAACTCTGGAAATGAAGAAGCCTGGAATTATATGTTCGAGAAGTACAAAAATACACAATTAGCTCAAGAAAAGGAGAAGTTGTTATATGGCCTGGCATCAGTGAAAAATATTACCCTATTGGACAGGTTTGTTTAAAAAAAGATTATTGGTTTTTGTTTTTAAATAAAAAGCAGACTTGGCTTTCAGAGCAATGTATAGTACAGAAACAAAAAAATGATTAAGAAAACCCCATCATATTACAATATTAACCTAATGTTGGCACATTTTTGTCCCTGCTTTAAAAAAAAGTATATGGCTGAAACGTGCTGCAGAATGCCTATCTTGTAGGTTTAGTTCTGTGTGGATTCTGTAACAAATGGGTCTGTCCACACTGACATATAGATAATGTTATATGGATGGAATGGTTTGCATCAGAAAAAAGACCTCATCCTGAAGTGTTTCTAATCAGAATGATCCATTCTTCCCATTTAAGGAGACCTTTTGGGTCCAACAGTTGGGCATGCATTCTTGTTTAGCCTGAAGAGAGCAGCCTCCAACAACCTCTGCCATTGTGGCTGCAGATTCCAAGGGAAGAGAGAGCAAGTTGAGAGAGAACAAGGGAAGGGAAGCAGATGGGAAGAGAGCAAATGAAACAGTAGTGACAGAGGGAGAGGAGTGACGTAAAACATAATTTCACTTCCCCTGACCTTCTGCAGATGATCAGGGGAAGTGCTTAATTGGCAACTTTTTTGGCTAAAAGGGATTGTTTCCTGTTTGGAAGAGCACACCAAATAGTCCTACCCCTAAACAGACCCTTTGTAGCCTGATCCACCCCACACCCAAAATGGTAAATATGAAGAGACCGAAAATGTGACTCTGGAGAATTAAAATGTCCCGTTTTGATACACGAGGGTTAAAACAAACCAAAGAGTAATTTTTCGGTCAGTATATCTAGTTCCCTGCCCTTCCCACTGAGCCTTCAGGCTACTGTTTCATATAAACTGGTTAGGCAGCACAGCTCTTTTCAAATGGTGCTCCAGTGCTAACAGGAAGCTGATCACGTGCTATTTAACGGGACTGCTAGTAGGAAGCTTCCGTTGTCACCTCATGGCACATTTTGCCTTGTACTACCAATTTGAAGTGTACAGCACATGCCAAAGGGAATTTTGGTATGGGGTTTTATTTGGCATGCAGTCTGTTCAACTCCACCCAGCTGGCTTGGCCCTATGTGACAATCCCTGTCTATTTAACAGTTAATGCGGGAAGATAGCAAGGCCAGTATGGTGCTTGTGAATTGTCAAGCTTAACATGTTGCTGGCATGGGCATTTGCACGATCTCTGGTTGCACAAGTCAGAGATGACTGCATAGAAAGCAATAGGATTTCTGCATGCACAATAACCCCTTGCACAAATGGAAGAGAAGAAACAACTGTGTATGCGATTGACTGCCATGTGTGCAGTTAAAACAACAACAGCAGGATTTTGGCACATGACGTGGGGCTTCCCTCCTGTCCCTTTATTTCTTGCAGATCAGTTGTGTCAAAAGCCAGTTTTCAGATGTCATTCACAGCTGCCTTCCACACAGCTCTAATGAGATGCTAAGCACTGTGTTAATTGCTTCATATCTGATTCCTCCTAGGTATATACAGTGTGTCTACAACACAAGCCTCATTAGGTCTCAAGATGTGTTCACTGTCTTGAGATATATCTCTTACAACCCCTATGGCAAAACGATGGTTTGGGACTGGGTGCGACTCAACTGGGAATATTTAGTTAACAGGTAAGTGCATGCAGGTGCTCAATGTAGTTCGCCTTTCTTTCAAAGCCATGATGGAAGATATGTTACCATTTCCATTTAACCCTACCCACATGTCACCAAAGCTGCAAGATGCCATTGCTTCATTTTGTTCCCTCTCTTCTTTGTGAAAACAAACACACCCTAAGAATGTTATTTGCATAATAAATCTAAAAAATTGTGTTTATATAGAAACTTCCCAAGACATGTTGTTGTCTGATTCAAGAGTAGAGAGGTTGATCAGGTGTCCCCAAATACTTGTAATGCCACGGATACATTCTCCTCTTTAGAGATGGACTATGTTTGGGGATAATTCTTGCCACATCAGTCTAATAATAATAATAATTGATGAGGAGGATAATGTGCCATCACTTCAATTTTGACTTATGGTGACCATTTTCTGAATATTCAGAAGTGGTTCACCATTCCTTTCTTCTGGGGGAGCCCTGGGACTGTGCAGCTTAGCCAAGGACACACAAGGTGGCCCTCCTATCTGGAGGCACAGTGGAGGATTGAACTCCAAACCTCTGGCTCCACAGCCAGATACTTATCTCACTGAGCTATCCAGCCAGCTAATCTTCATCATCATGTGTTGCCAATTCATTTCTGACTTATTGTAGCCTTTTCTAGGATGTTCTAGTTATAATGTACAGTGGTGCCTCACTTGACAATGTTAATTCGTTCCAGCGAAAATCTCTGTGGAGCGGAAACGTCGTAAAGTGAAATAAAAAAGCCCATTGAAATGCATCTAAAACCGTTCAATGCATTCCAATGGGCTGAATCCCTCAGCATCCAGCAAAGATCCTCCATAGGGGGGCCATTTTCCAGTGCCTGTCTTGTGAAAAATGCCTTCTAAAAACAGCAGGGAGCCATTTTGAGCAGCCGGTGGCCATTTTGAAAACCCGACGATCAGCTGTTTTGATCCCCGAAGCAGGAAACTGATTGTCACAAAGCAAAAAATAAAAAAATAGAAAAAAAAATTAAAATATCATTTTGCGATTGCAATTGCGATTGCAAAAACATCGTCGTGAAGCGAATTCATCGTTATACAGGGTAATCGTTAAGTGGGGCACGACTGTACTCAGAAATGGTTTACTGCTCCCTTTTGGTGGCACTCTAGGACTGTGCACCCTGCACAAGGCCACACAGGCTGGCTCTTCTCCAGTGGGGAATTGCTCAACATGTGGCTCTGCATTCAAGGACCCTCCAAATGTTATGTGCATACATCAGAATCTCTAGGGCCTGATGAGAACCATAGGCCAACCTGCCAAAGTGGGTGTAGGATGGTTATACCCTAATGGTTGCTGTGCTGTTTACCAAATTCTACTTATTCATTCATTTGTTAAATGTATTAAACACACTCTTTTCCTGCAAGGCACCCAGGATGGTGTACAGTAGGAACACGACAACTTCACAATGAGCAGAGCACCCCAGGAGCAAAAATAAAGCAAAATTCCCTTCTAGCACTCTACCATGCAATAAAGTTGGAGAGCCACATTGAAATTAAAGAACCAGAAAGTATTTACTGCTCTGCATTAAAATGCCAGTGAGACAAAACTGTGTTTACTACTTATTAAGAAAGAAGCTATAACTGGGGTGTTACTGCCCTGTATTTCCACCTTTCCCACCAATCCCCTCTTTGTAGACTGAGACTGCAGATTTAGAAACAGAATGGTGTTCTATTCAGATTCCTGATGTTGCATTTAGATTTCTGATTTATTTATTTATTTTTGACATTTCTGTTATGGATATTGAAAGCACTGTTTCAAAGAAAATAGGATGAAAAATCAATTAACACAGTAATTTTACAGAGCATTACTAATCATGCAGAATTAAAGCTTGTTGGTCAAAATCCTACTGCATAATTAGGATTTTATTAGAATAAAATGCGTGAAAGGCACATTTTCTCACTGGCAGTTAATGAGCTCCTGCCTGGATTTTCAGGCATATGCAGACCTAGTGGACAGACACGAATGTGAATATTCAAGTAGGGACTTGTTACTGAACAACACGAAGCCTTTGCACAGGTGTTAGTACACAGTAGGATTTGGGCTATTAAGAACTGCCTTGAAATCTAAGGACATCTTAGACATAATACCCACCAAAAGTTCCCCCTGTTCTTAGTTGATGGGCTTATCTGATACCAGAAGCTCTCCAATCAGTATGTAGCAGTGAGCCATCATTTCAGTATTCCCAGATGCCACTGGGGCCACCAATATACTTTCCTCCAATGTCCAGGACTGATGCTATGCCAGGGGCATTTATATGAAACTTATATGGCGGTTCTCTGCGTGGCATGGATTGGAGGGCCTAGGATAGATATGAATAGTGCCCTCTGTGGTGGTGCTAAGACCTGGTAGCTACCCAAGGATGCTGGGCTGATGGGTGTGGGAGGGTCTTGTAGAGCACAGCTCTTTGAAAGAAATGACTTGGTTCCATAAGTGTTATTATTATCTGGTATTTAACTTGCAGAGTGCAATGGTCTAGTACATTGCTTGTGGTTGTTGATAAAAAGCAACCACTCTGACATAAAAGAAAAAGGAAACTTTTTATTTGGTATGTTAGGAAATTCATATGTGGATACCACAGAAGATAAAGAATCCAAAACTTAGATATGTTGAGAGTTTTGGTTTGTTTGTACTGAAAACTCGTGTGAGAATTCCAGTAAAATGCACAGCAAGAAGTGCCAGCCGGTTTGGGCAGAATTAGCTAGAAGTTCTCCTTTTAATACCCGCCCCTCACCAAACACTAGCACTTAAAATAACACTCAGGAGGCCTTATTTTGTATAAAAGAAAGAAATCTATATTCTACTCACGTAGATAAGCATTCAGAACTTATTTGGCAGTTCTCTGCTTGGCATGGATTAGAGGGCCTAGGATAGGTATGAATACTGCTCCCTGTGGTGGTGCTGAGACCTGGTAGCTACCCAAGGGTGCTGGGCTGATGGGTGTGGAAGAGCACAGCTCTTTGAAAGAAATGACTTGGTTCCATAAGTGTTATTATTATCTGGTATTTAACTTGCAGAGTGCAATGGTCTAGTACATTGCTTGTGGTTGTTGATAAAAAGCAACCACTCTGACATAAAAGAAAAAGGAAACTTTTTATTTGGTATGTTAGGAAATTCATATGTGGATACCACAGAAGATAAAGAATCCAAAACTTAGATATGTTGAGAGTTTTGGTTTGTTTGTACCGAAAACTCGTGTGAGAATTCCAGTAAAATGCACAGCAAGAAGTGCCAGCCGGTTTGGGCAGAATTAGCTAGAAGTTCCCCTTTTAATACCCGCCCCTCACCAAACACTAGCACTTAAAATAACACTCAGGAGGCCTTATTTTGTATAAAAGAAAGAAATCTATATTCTACTCACGTAGATAAGCATTCAGAAGGTTTCAGGCAGATACAGAAAGAAGAAAAGTAGCAAACAATGTTCTTCCGCTTTGGCCCCACGTGGCTGGAGGGATCTCCAAGCTCAGTGGGCCGGCATGGAGTTCTTACATCTTTCCAGGTGAACAGCGTGTGCAAGAATGGTGGTCAACGATGCAGGTCAATCACCTCATGGCCAGAAGGGCCGGAAACAGGGGTGGAGCTATCCTACCCCGGCAACAACAAAACTCCCTCTAATTGGTCAGTATGTAAACAACCAGGTAAACAAGTTAGTTTGTGTGCTGAAGGCCCTTCCCCTTAGAAATTTACATCTAGATTGCTTGACCTTCCAACAAGATAGAGAAACCCTTAGAGAAACTTTCTATGGTTTATAACTTAGAAATTCAGAAATATGGTCTATTGGTTTATAACTTAGAAATTCAGAAACAACAGTAAGTGGGATCAAAGAGAGAAGGAGGAAAGAATTTGAATACTACTGGTCTATATGTAAATCTAGAAAAGACAAGAAAGGAGAAAATCCACTCCATCTCTCAGTTTCGCCGGTTCAGCTATTTGCTACATGTGTTGGTGCTTTATTCCAACTTGGAAAAGAAGCATTTTATCTGCAAAACAATTTTATCCTCACAACAGTTCTATGATGAGAGAGAGCGACTAGCTTTACAACTGCACGGATATTTGTTTCCAGGGCTCTCGGTCCTATTCTGACACCATGTTTCACTGACTTATATTATTTTTCCAGATTTACTCTTAACGATAGAAACCTTGGGCGCCTCGTGGCAAGGATAACAGGCACGTTCAACACAGAGCTCCAGCTTTGGCAGGTAAAGATTTCCAGAGTTCTCATATCCAGTTCCCATAAAGCAGTGAGGACCAGTTTGTATAGGACCTAGATGCTCCCAGTGTTCTCATTATGGATGGGCTGGAGGTGGAGAAGAGAGAAGGGAAGGGAACATACAAATCTAGGCAAGGGTATTAAGCATTGAGGCAAAGGAAAGATGGCGTCCTTCCATTGGATGACCAGAAATTAAGTGCGCTTGCTGGCTGGACTCCAACACTGACAATGGGCTAGGAAACTCCTCCCAATCATTAAAAGTAACTTTTTGATGCTCTGGTCAATAAACAACAGACCACAAAGCCAGTAACATAACAAATAGGATGATTGCATGTCTGTATGCGGCTGATTCAAAACCAGTGGGAGAAACCAGGGCCATTGGGGCAATCTCTTTCTTGAAGATCCTGCAGACCTCAGATAAGCTAAACTGTGGTTAATCTTCTGACAAACAAGTTCTCTTATACTAATGGATGTGCCTGTTTTCTTTTCTTAAGATGGAAGAGTTCTTTGCAAAGTATCCTGATGCTGGGGCTGGAGCAGCATCTCGGAAACAGGCTCTTGAAACTCTGCGGAGCAATATTGAGTGGCTAAAACAACACAGAGAGGAAATAGCAGCATGGCTTGGGAGTTAAGATTGATCACACCTTGCACAACTGTATGGACTTATCGTTCTTCCATATAAACTCTTAGGACTTTATTTTCAAAACACAACAAAATGGGGATTTGTAGAAATCTTATTTTCAAATCCTGACAAAGCTGTCAATATTGGAATACATAATTTATTGAAATGGATGTTCAGATTTACCGGATGCCAACTCTAGATCTTGTCTTATCTCCTAAAACACATGTTCTCGTTTAAAGCAGGACTGCTTATAATGTACATAATTCTTATTGCACAGTCAATTACAGGACCTTAGTCTTTCTGCACCACTGGTGTGTATCTGTTCATCGCATACACACCTTTGAAAGTAAGACCTTTGTACAAAAATCATATTTTTCCATGTATTCAGAATCTCCTTCCCAACATATATCATTCCAATCCATTCCAAGCTAGAATTTTTGTCTCCGACGCCATGAGAGAAAATAAAATTGAAAATATCTTCTCAAAAGGATTGAAAAGGGGAAGAAAAGCACCAAACATCACTTTGTAAAACGATCCTCATGCATATATTATCTTCCATTGTACGTAGAGCATACTGATGACTTCCATTGTTTTGTTAAACTATCATGCTGCTGAAAAGACATTGTAAAGCATAGCAGAGTGTCCTCGGAGAGCATGAGTTTAGTGGAAGAATATATGCTTTGTGTATGCAATATTCCATGCTGATGAATCATAAGGTCAGACTACACACACCCCTACCACATTTTATGCAGATATGCTCCCCCAAGTGGAAAAGGGCATCTGTTTGTCATATCACCCTGATTTTCTTTGTCTGCTTATGTTGTATTTTGTGTTCTTTGTTTTGTGATTGGCCATTGGAAGGCAAACATGGTCTTGATTTACAAGTGTGATTGCTGAGGATAATCTACTCTGAAAGAGAAAACACATTCAGTAAGGAAAATCTACTCTGAAAGAGAAAACACATTCCTCTTAATAGCATTGATTAACTCTCAGGGGTTTTTTTTTTGTGTGTGTGTGTTTTTAAGGTGGTAGCAAGACTTAGGCATTCCTTTGTTTGGGAAGGCCTTTGCCAGAAAGACTACCAGAAGTCAGAATCAATATTATTGAAGTAAACAAAGCAGTGGTACAGCTCAGTATAGGGCAGATTTGTGGTTTCACCTATAGTGAAGGGATCATGCTTGGAGAAACCAGTAGATGTGGTAGGGAAATTTAGCTGTCAAGATACTTTTACTACACCTTGCCTCAACCGTGTCCAGCATAGCCGGGTAATAACACCCAAAGTACCTGGAGAGGGCCAGAGGTTTCCCATCTTTGGGATGATAGGTGTGACTGGTATAGGTAAATATGCAAATTTACCCAAATGTCAGGTGCAGATACGTGGCTTTCTTTCATCTGCAATGTTTCTAAGCACTTACTTCAAAGTCACATGGACTTATCAGTCACTATCTGAATGCTACCCCCAAAACCAGCCTTTCTGTTGCATACGGTTTTCCTTGTGCTGGCTCAGATTAAACCTGGACACACATGGACTTATCAGTCACTGTCTGAATGCCACCCCCCTTTCTGTTGCATATGGTTTTCCTTGTGCTGGCTCAGATTAAACCATGTTGGGAGTTGGAGGCCAGGATCTCTGGAGGATCAAAGGTTGACAACCACAACTCTAAACCAGGGATGGAGAAATGTGTAGCCGTTCAAGCAAGACTAGACTACAGTTCCCATCAGCCCTAGACAGCCAAGTTAATTTCGAAGAGGCAAAATCTGAAAGAAGTTACCTTCTTGGATCACAACTTCCAGGATTCCCCCAGCCAGTAAGGCCAGTGGCTAGGTCAACTGGAAACTCAAGGAGCTGTAGTTGAAAAAAGAGGAGATTTTGCAAGCAGTGAAAAGGAGGAGTGGGAGGTGTGGTCCAAGATTATCTGAAGGTCGTGTTTTTCCTATCCCTGGTTTAAACTTTACACCAAACATGGATCCATCTTCTCTCTTTCATTGCTGTAATAATACACAGAATCAAGGCTTCTAAACATCCATGGACAGGATTAGGATCACTCATCTGTTGATGGTGTTACTGCTTTGATGGGAATTACATGTTCAGTAGCTCTTATGTTTGCAATCAGAATACCAAACTTTATCGTCTGGATGCTGTGTCAATAATGTGCAGAGCGATGCTGGTTGGTTTTTAAATCACCGGGGAAAATGATGATAAAGTATTTCCAGTTTTTAAAAACTGGGCTGTCCATTTTTTTTCAAAGTATTCTCTTCATATATTCTACAGTAGAGTCAAATAAGCAGCAGTATTATGTGGAAAGGAGTGCTGATGCTTGTCATGTTGATCATTTTAAAACAAGGTGGCCCTTGAAGATGGTTCAGAAGCTTCAGCTGGTGAAATTATCCAGCTTTTAATGAGCATCACTTCAAGCAGGACTTGGAACTAATTGATTCTTAACTGGGCTGGTGTTCTGTGTGCAAAAATATCTGATTCAAGGAATGAGATGTTGCCTGCATCTTGGGGATGGGGAATTTGTTACCATTCAAATGTTGCTGGGGTACAACACCCATCATTCTTCACTGTGCTGGCTAGGACTGATTGTAGTTGTAGCTCAGCATCTGGAAGGACATATATTCCCATCATCTAACCTATAATAATAAGCATCTAGGAACTGCATTGCTGGAAGGACCCTATGGACCATCACGTCCAGCCCCTGTCAAGGAGGAACAGTGGAGAACAGAACTCCCACCCTCTGGCTCTGTGGCCAGATGTCTAAGCCACTGAGCTAAACCTTCAGTGGCTTGCCTCTGATGAATTGAGCTAATTTGGCATACTTTTTTAAAAAGAGAAGCAACAAAAGGGATATTTAGAAAGAGACTTTGTTGAGCTAAAATTTTTCAGATTTGCAATTAAGCCTAAAAGAATATGAGCTGTTTTCACAAAGATATTATCAATTGCTTTCATGGGAAAGGAAGCTATATTATATTTCAGTGGAGTTGAGAGACATTGATTCACTCCAGAGCAGCCACTGAGAACCCAGCGATATGTGATCTTGAATGCAGGGTTCATTTTCTAGCAGTGAGATGCCCTACATCAGAGAGGACCCTTCTTAGTTCCAAGACAGATTAGCTCTCCTGTATCTGCAATATGTGATGCAAAAAAAACCCACAAAAACTCCCATTTATTTTGATTGATCTGCCAATATAGAATCCCAACATGGATCAGGACTGCCAATGCTGGCAAAAGGGCCATAGTGCCTACAGGAATGGCCTACTGCAGATGCCTCTCTTTGCACTGAAAAATTCTGGGCTGAATTGTTCATGTTGCCGTTCCCCTGCAGCAAAGACAGAAGTTGGCAGTGCAAGCTTACACCCACCACAGCACCTCCTTTGCAACAAAGGGATGTTTCCCGGTTGATGTTTTTATGTTGGAGTCCCTGTACTTAAGAGAAAAAAGGAAATGAAAATGTAATATGTAGATAAAGAAGGCAAAATGTAGACTATAGAAAAATAATGGCAGAAGGGAGTGCTTTGAAAGATATTTAATGGTTCAGGTTCTCAGTCTAGGGATAGAGAAATGGGAAATCTTCCATGCTATCAGCAATGCTATAGCATTCCCCACCACACACAATTACAACAAGGTAGCGTAGGGAGTACAGAATAGCCTGTATGACATGGTGGCTCTACTTAGGAATATCCCCCATACCCCATGATCTGTTTCCTAAAGCAAGTATCTTACTTCACATAGTAATAGAACTGGCCCTGAAGACAAGCGACAATAGTAGTGCAATAGAGAAAAGTGAGGTATTTCTAACTCTACTGCCACTGGTCTAATAAAAAAGTCTGAAATGCAAGTACTCATCATGAAAATTCTCCACAGGAAGGCCCCCAATGGAAATCTTTAAAATGCTTGCAACAGCATGAATCTATATCAACCAACTGGTTTTAGTTGTTGTTTTCTTCACCAGGAGCACATCCTTTGTAAAGTTAATGGGACTTGGATGCACATCCAAGGCCTGGACCACCATCCCACCACAGGTATTATTACAAGCATAGCTCACAACATCTGAGCATTCAGCCTGGAGGCAGGCAGTGCAGCATGGCCTCTCCCAATTTGAAGAGACCCTTGTCCAGCAGGCTGAGGCAAAGAGGCAGTCCCGTTCCCAGCAAAATCAGGGAACTGGGCAGGGGACAGATTGTATTTGTCTTCAGTGTGGAAGGGACTGTCACTCTCGAATTGGCCTTCTCAGCCACACTAGACGCTGTTCCAAGACCTCTTTTCAGAGCACATTACCATAGTCTCTCGAGACTGAAGGATACCTACACTTCAGCTCACAACAATATAGTGATTGCTGCTGGGGAAATCAAAATAGGATCCAGGACTGGGCTTCCAGTGGCTGAAGAGCAAAATCCCAGAGGAGGAAGGATGGAATCCACCCATTTGCATCACCTCCCATGCAACTCAGATACTTGTTCTAGAAGGCTTGAAACTCCTCTTTGCATCTCCTCCCATGCAACTCAGGTACTGTACTTGTTCTAGAAGGCTTGAAACTCCTCTAGACTTCATTTTCCAGGAGGTCTGCAAGGAAGAATAGAAAGGAAAAGAGTTAAATTTACACTGGAGCTTTCAGGCCTCAGCTCCTTCTGTTTCATAAGGAGTGCATCTAAGCTCAGACAGAACAGAGAAGCCTGAGGTGGAGGTGCCCGAGAGACTCCGTATCTGCAGTCCAAAAGTCCAGTATTTCAACTATGTGAGCCTAGTGTCCTAGGTTCTACCTAGAGTGGAGCAAGTGGGGTTTTGTCCCAGGGCATCAAATTTTTGAGGGCACCCGTATCTGGCTGCAGAGCCTGAGACTGGGTGTTTCGTTCCCCACTGTGCCCCTCAGGAGAAAAGCCAGCCAGTGTGGCCTTGGGCAAGCTGCACAGTCCCAAGACATCCTGAAATGAAAGGAATGGTAAACTGTTTCTGGGTATCCTGTATCTCAAAAACCCTGGAACGGGTTGGCACAAGTCAGAATTGACTTGATGTCACATAATACATACGTACAAATCTGAAGGGCCTCAAATTTTAGAAGTGAATCTACTAATCAGTCTTCGAAAATAAATAGCAGTACTTCTTGTCCCTATTTCTTTTCCGTTAAGAAAAGAGAAAAGGCATACACTTTTGCTCTTGCTTTTTTTCTCTCCTGCTGAAGCAGTTTCTTCTCTTCCTTTTTCTAGTGTGTATGTGTGGGTGAGTTATGCCAATGAGTCAGAGAAGACAACGGGTAGGACACAAGGCTAATTGTCCTGGCTGCCAAAATGGCTAGTTAACAGGTCTGTTTGGGCCCGCTAAAATACTGGATACCACCAACTGTGTCATGTCTTCCAGGTGATCCAACAGAATGCCATGCCATTCCAAATCTAAAAGTCTGACACTGCATTTGTGCAGGATGATGGAAGCTCAGTGTAAACTAGGCTTTTAAAAATAGAGAAAGTCAGCTAGGAATATATAGAAAGCCAGCCATTTGGCAGCAACATCAACTGGATTCTCTGGCATACACACGTGAAGAGATGATGTCCGTTCCAAAGAAAACACTCACTCACTCACTCTTTATTTCACCTCCTGAGTCACACCCTGGCTGTCTTGCAAGTCATATACTCAATTCTTCGGTTCAGCTGTCTGTGTGATTTTTTGAAATGCTCCTGTCCAAACGCAGTGCTATGAATACAGAATTGATTAGAAAAAGAACAAGAAGAAGGGTCAGAAATTGGAATAGTAGGACAAAAGCAGGAATTAGCCAGTACAGTTGAAGAATGGGAAAATCTACATCATTTTCCATAATGATGTATTAAGAGCATCCTCTAGTGGCAAAGGGAAGTCACTACATCCAATTAAAATGTTACAATGCCATGCACCTTCATGTTCTTCACAACCCAGGATACTGTAGTATTTACGATGGATCCATACATTTATCCTGGCCAACATTTCAGATTATTGTAACTACAAGCATATCTATCTCAAGTCCTCTTTTACATTCATATTGGCAATTTACAGACTCAGATCTTGACAGCTATTACTTTTGATTTTGCTTGTGCACAGAGACACAGCCAGCAGAAGCATGCTGACTTAAGCTAGGTTTCCCCTGCATTTCAGAAGCTTTCTCAAAGTAACATATTTTAAAGTTGAGTGGTAATAGTACCACTGAATATATTTTTCTAGCTGCATTCATTTCTACCAACACGTTGAACAACCATGTTGGTGTAGTGGTTAAAGAGGTGGGTTGTAACATGGAGATCTTGCTTCTAGTCCCTCACCAGGTAGTGAAAAATTTACTAGGTGGTCTTAAATCTCTTGTCTCCATTTCTACTTTTACTTTTCTAGACCCTACACCACAGAATTGTTGTGAGGAGGAGAGCCATGTAGGTTGGCTTGAACAAACTGGAGGCAAAGCAGAATATGAATCTGACTAAAAATATAAGTAATAAGTAATAGTGGCTCCAGTCATATCACTGGACATGAAAACAAAATGGGGCTT